GTATGTATGTATGTATGTATGTATGTATGTATGTATGTATGTATGTTCCAGTTCCATGCAAAGTGAACACCCACTCACACAAAATTAAAATTGATTGCTTTAGTTCTAAAATGTCAACGAGTCAGTGTAAACTGATGGAGTCTAGCCACTTTTGGAAACTATCAGAGCTTATTGTTGTGTAGGCAATAACTTCTCTGGATGCAAGTAGTACAATTGCAAAAGTAACGGTAGCTTACAGGCAGAGAAGCTCACATGTAAAACCTACTGGTGCTGTTAACACCAAGTACTGCATGCAAAATAAATACAGTTAAAAGGCTTTTGTATAGAAATAATTTACGTCACAACACTGCCACAATAACCTCAGGGACGAGTTACAGAGAGCAGGCAGCATGCCAACATGCTATGAGCCCACCATTCGGCCATTCCAGCAGCCAAAGCAGAGCAGGGCACGGCTGCAGTCCTGCTGGTTTGCTGGCCCCAACATGGCCAGGCGCTCCCCCAACACTCTGATCTGATAACGCGGAAGCTTTAATCCGGTTTTCCCGATTCCTTGGACCCACCTCACTAAAGAACAAAAGGGAAGAGGGGAAAAAGTGAAGAAGAGAGGCCATAGCGGCTTAGCTTAGCTCAGCATGTGCAGGAAAACAGCACGGTGAGAAGCAAAGCAAGAAAAGGAAAAACTCATTTGTCTCACAACAGCTGGATGAAAGGCAGACACTAGATGCTCCTTGAAGCAGAAAGACACACTGAGCCAAGAGAAGAATCTTATAATTCCTGGATGGAGCGAAGCAGAGACTGCCAAGGGATCAAGTCCTCTGCTTTCACACTCGGCTCCAAGATGCACACACTTGCGTGCACTCCACTTCTGCTAGATACATACATCAAGAGACCACACACCCTGATATGTGAAACCCTTTCATCCCGTCTGTCTTGTACAGCATCCACCACTGAACACGCATCCATGACTGTGTGTGTTTGCAACGAGGAGGGAGAGAGAGAGAGTGGAGTAAAGATGATGAGTGTGCGCACGTATGCACCAGAGAGGAGCGCTGTCTGGAGCCGCTTGTGTAATAAACCAAAGAGGGACTGAAGAGGTGGGCGAGTCAAGCAGCCCACTGCATATTATGATACAGCAGAAGAAAGAGACAGAGAGGAAGAGTGGGAGGTGGAGAGCAATATTTGTCTGGATCCTATATTCTACTTCCATCTACCAAGCTCTTTTCATCCTCCTTTATCCTGATCTATTGTTAACCCTTTCATCATCTCTTGCAAAAATAAATAAATATCCATGGTAAAAATCTCACATAAATAATACAGAGAGGCTAGTAATGTCAACCCTTCACAAAAATCCATGTGAATCAGTGAAAGTCTACTTATAAAAAAATAAGTTTTTGAATCTGTGATGATGATTTTCTCACTGTGAAATAAAGGGAATATTCATCATAAGCTGTTAAATTGTATCTTTGTTTAGCACCACTCTTCTACCCACCAACACAAAGACGCCCACACACAAAAACACAAATGGACATGCATAAAAAATGTTTTTCATGCAACAGAATTTTCTAATATGGTTATGCAAATGCTTTGTACAGTGGCACGTAATGCACATTTGAAGGCTGTACTCTTGACTAGTTCGACTGTAGGATATTCACAGCTGTAACTGTCAGTAACCCAGTCTGAGGTTAGTATTGTGCATAAATGAAAAAAAAAAAGAAGAAAATATAAGAACTGCTGGATAGAACAGCAGCTCAGAATATATCCATTTCCATAACTTGTTGTACTTTGTTTTATTGTATGTGGTCATTTTAAATACTGGGAATGGAAAAAAAAAAGAAAGCTAAAAGTAAGCAAATTTATTTAAAAATATGCAGATAAGTTAGACTTCTCAAGTCAAGTCGAAAACGTAAATGGAGGATGTTCAATGCATTTCCTTTTTTGTCCATTTGGTCGCAGCACAAACACACCACCTGCAGCAATGCTGTGTTGCATTAACCTTACTGAGGTTACTACGGGTCACAGTCCAGGCCCGGCCCTGAAATATACTCTCAGTGTCCTTAATGGACCAGATATGGGCAGTTACTCACAGCCACACCAAAAACACTTAACAGCACCAAAAAAAAGCACATCTCCAATTTAGTTGAAAAGAAGGGAGAATGAGTACAGCAAAGCCATCATCTTCCTTCAATTGGGTCAGAATCACCCCTGAGTGCAATATGCATAATCTGGGCAGTGGGAAGGGGCTGGAGGACCTGGAAAGAACCGATGCTTACATGAAAGGAACATGCTAATTCCACACAAAGACAGATTTGAACTAGGAACGTTGTCACTGTGAGTACTTTACTGCGATAAACACAACACCAGATTGCAGCTCACGCGCACGTCTGGTATTATTGCTGGGGGACACCCTCAACTGATAATAAGCATTCCCATGCCCCCGGCCCGAACAGTTACTGCTGAATAAACCCAACTTTCCTCAGAACTACTGCTGTCCTCGTGTTCAAACAACTGTACTTTATTCCAGGACAGTGACGTGTAACAAAGATTTATCAGTGCCACTTAAACAGCCTTTTTATGTCCTGTTTACACTTGGTGTCCAGCTTCTAGCTATGATGTACAGGTTGAGCCCGGTTGATTACCGCTTGAGGTATCTTTGAAACCACAACACAGGACATCAATGTTTGAATAAAAAACAACATCAATGGAACATTTTCCTGAATTATGAGAAGGCACTGCTTGTCTGCCCCTAAAATCCTGTCTGGGTTCTTTTCTTTATCCTTAAAAGGTGTTTTCATTTGGCTGGTGGCCAGTCAAACTATATAGATTATAGATTAAACATTCTTGTTTATCACAAAGGAGCTCTGTATAACCCCATCTGGGCGGTTGTATGTCTATATGTTAAAGTCATGAGAGCTTTATGTATAAGGTCTGATGAGCCTGAGAGCAGTGTACAGAGAAGGCTTCACAAAAGCCCAGGCGAATAAGATATTTATTCAGTAAAAACACAAAACTCAACACAGATTCTAAATGGCTCTGCACGTGTAATAACTAAAGCTATACATCCTTTAACAAAGATTTTTAAAGTTTTTGAAAGAGTGAAGAGCAGCTTATAATCTGATAGCAAGGGATGACACCTCACTCCTCAGATTCCTAACATTCCCAGAGTAGAGAACTGTCTGAGTCTGTCCGAAATCCTGTGTCCTGCCACACCCAGCCGACAGAACAAAAACCACATAACATGGTCTGGGGGGGGGGGGGGGGACTAACAAAAAGACTGACCCTTAATTCAACCTGATTACTGCAAGTATTTGACTAATGCAGTAAAGCAAAGCGGTTTTATTGGGTGATTGGGATAAAAAATATAGTCAATAAAACCTTTTAGCATAAGAAAAGTGTTTGGATATTTCCCAAACTAATAAGTATGAAAACAAAGCTGCATTATTCAGGCAAAGTGGATTAATCAGTTTTTCTGTAGTTTATGACCCCTGGAAATAACTTAAATCCAAATAAATCTGTAGGTTGAAAATGCAGAAATGTCAAAAGGACCCAGCAAATAAAATAAGAAAGAAAGCTTAGGACAGAGGAAATACTCACCCGGTGCAGTTCTATTGATTCTATCCAGCGGAGTCTGTGCTCTGGGTCCTCTGCTCTGAGGTACCAAACGCTGTCATTCACGCTGATGTCAAATCGACACTCGTCGAACTCATGTGGCTGCACACAGAGAAAAGGGTCATAAATAGCAAAGTGCACAAGCAACGTCAGGACATACAATCACCAAAAGATCTTCCACTGAACACCAGAATACGAAGCTCAACACCTGAAGTGTTACAACTCCTGCAAAACAGAAACAAAAAACTGCTCTTTTCAGCTTTGTCTATAACACAGGCTGACTAGCAATGACATATTTGAAAAACACATGGTCTTAATCATTCACAGAGCGCCATACGCCACACAATAAGCAGAAATTTTAATTGAAAACTGATGTCCTGTGTCTGCTGTCCCTGCCCTGAATGACTGCACCAGAGCTGTGCGAGGGATACAAAACATGGATTGTTCCAGCATGAACCTGGGTGCTCGTAGCCTTTCCTTTGACTTTCTGGAGGAATCCTTCAACTATTACACTCCCCCACCCAGAATCAACCCACTGGCTGCCTCAGGCATCCAAACACGTGCAACAAAGAATTCACTCGTTTCCTCTAGGAATGGAATTTGACCACTGCTCTCAGCTGAGAGGAGATCTGCTCGGCAAAAGTTCACAAGAAGAAATAAGGCAGGCTTCACTTAGATCTCTCCTGGTTTTCTCGCTGCTTTTCCCATCCAGAGCCATCAGGGACACAGCTGCCCTGTCCGTTGACATAACCTTACATTACCAAAGTTTAATTTCATTTGGTGAATGATGCTCATGTGCTGCCTTATTTGCAGCAACTGACAACAGCAAAACAGGCTCATTCTGAGCATTCAGCCTGCTGTGTGACATTGCTGTGACACTTTCACTCTCACAGAACATCACTCAAACATTTCCTTTTAAAAATACAAACGGGGGAAGAGCAGTTTCCCATGATGTTTCAAGGTTTTCAGCGAGGTCACCAGTAATTTAATCTGTGTGTTGCAACATCAGAAAACACCTCTATTTATGATGTAATCGTAAAAAAGGCAACAGCATTATCAAGTTTAACCAGCCATGACAGTTGCTGGTTTGAGAAATCTTTCTTCTAGCTTACTGTGCACTATCAGACACAGACCATAAACCTCTGCCTTACAGTCGAGTTTATAACTCTTTCATTCAGACTGAATCGTTGCCTTTCCCTTGGTGCAAGCACTGCTTGTACAACCAAGCTGCAAAAGGAAAACTTTAGCAAAAGCACAGTTTCTCATGCATAAATATTTGTCTATAAAAGAGGAATCATTCACATCAAAATACATTTGGAAATAAATTCCAATAGATGTGTGCACAAGTTCACCCAACTGAAAAACATGATGCTTTGATAAGAGTGTGAGCTGATGTATGCTTTTGATTATTTGACTGTTGTTGTTCGATTGGATTTTTTTTACAGGGACATTTCCTGAATGTTGTCCTTTGGTATGAGGTCAGTCTGGTCTGTGTCCACAGATAAACAGTTGGTAGCTCACGAATGTTAGGCCTGAAAAAACATGGAGGCTTTTTCTGCATTCCTCAGCCCTCACACTGAAGTCTCATGAGACTGATGTGTCTTTAAAAAGAGAGGGCAATGAGAGGTGGGTCACACTACACCTATTATTGGGCAGCGTTTGCAAAGCCATAAACAATTAATTAGGCTATTATAATTACATAAAAGGGGACAAATATTGCATAAATATCCAAGACTCATACAGATAAACAATTTTACGGGGACACTTAATGCTGGCTTTCATGTTTGGGCTTAAATCTAGTTTTAATCAAACTGACTAATCCTCTTGCACAAAAGTGCTCAAACCAAAGCAAAACCATTTGTTGGGCCGACATACTTCACTGCAGTGAGCAGTGAATATTTAACTTGAGTCCAAGACTTGAGCTTATCTTACCTGCACCGGAAGAATGCTAGTTTAATCTCCACCGTGTGCGGTCAAAGCTTACATTTGGCCACAGAGAATGCCACCTTCAATTAGACAATAAATTCTATGGTGGGAGTCACCTGAGAGTGTGATCAAATAACTTCAATAGACCGACTACCTTTGTGTGTTAAATTACAGGTGTCCAGCCTCCATGTGATCAGCTAAGAGTTATCTCTCAATCCCAGCAGGCAGACTATGAAAAAGGTTATACTAAGCATAAAAGGCAACAATATAACTTTTAAAGACTGACATGTTAGAAAAGGTGTTGGTTTAACAGTACTTACTGTGATGACAGCCTTGCTAAGGCACAGAGAACCCCTGCAGCCGTACTCCCGTTCATCCTCCGACTTGTAGTAACTCAAGGTATTGTTCTTCAACACGACCCATCTGTCCTGCCAGCCGTGTATGTAGTTTGTCCACTGTAAACACACACAATGTGCAGTATGAGAGTAGACGCAACACTATCAGGCTCGAAGGGAATGCTCACTTGCCCCTTAGACTAATAATGTATCGTTAAAAATACACATGCTATAAGCTACGTCAGCAGGAACACACACTTTAGCCTGCAAACAAACTTGGCTAAACTTACCTTGCTTAAGACGCCACCGAGTTCCCCGGACTGTCCAGATTCTGGGTCCAAATCCTCATCCGAACCGGAGGATGAACTTTTTTCGGACATTGAATCCTTAGATTCGAGAAAACACGAATCTCAGTTTTATCAACAAAAGAAAAAACACGCTTCGCTTCTGGATAAGTTATCGGTTCAGCGGCGTCAGAGCAGAACCTGCAAACAGCTTCTTCAACTTAACGTCGATGAAATTATATTAACAAGGCATTTACTGAGGGTCCCAAACAGTGGGAAGATATCCCTGTTTTTTCTGTGGTTGTTGGACACACAGCTAGCTTCTCTTTTAACAAGCTACTCTGGAGGTGACAGCTCATTCGCGATATCTTGGTTTTGCGGGCTTTGTTTTGAAACTGACATCGAATACCAATAAGCCTTGCTAACTTAGTTAGCTGTCAAACGACGCAACAAGCTAGCGTTTACTTTTCAGTGCGACTCGAAACAGCTGTCCCTCGTTAACTACGCCACGGTCAATAATATACTCCAAACACCGTCGTGTTAATGCTACGCCACAACTTCAGCCTACAAATAATGAGCAACGTACTGTGTCGCTGCTGTGGTTCCACAGCTCAGTTAGCAATAGCGGAGCGCTGACTAGCTTGTAGGGGGAGGAGCCGCGGCCACGCTTTACTGTGTACCTGCAGCTCCGAGAGGCGTCAAGGGCCACTTAGTTAGTCCGACCGGAAGTTACTCGTCTCCGCTTAGAATTAAAACCATTGAAAAAGTAGTAATTCCAAGGCACAGAAACTGCTAGGTGAAGACAAACGCAGCTCCAGGCATTCGTTTGGGAAAAATGCATTAAACATATTTTAGATTCAAAACATGTGTAAAATCTGGCGCACGTGCGCGAAATACATCTGCTTTAGTGTATTGAACAGCGACAATATCGGAAATGACAGTTGTCGGATCTGGACCATTTACTTGTACAGTATTCCTATACGAATATTATGGGTTTGTTGTGTGTTTCATGGTATATGGATCGCATGAATTGTGTTCTATGTAAACATTTTTGTTTGATTGTTGTGTCTTTGCTGTGTCTGGAAATAATTATGTTTTTTTTACCTTGTTGAATGTTATCATAAGTCTTTATTTTTTCATTTTTATTTTATTTGTAATATGGTGTGATTTCTAAAGGCATGTGCCAAAAAAGCACTTTCATATTTTTCCCACTACCTAAGTATTTTGAACTTTAGTCACACCGATACCATTCTGTCCAAAGTCCATACAGTACACCCATATCAGAGGGAACATATCAGCATTTCAGCCGTAAAGTTTATATTGTGCGATTTAGAAGAAAGCAACATCATTATTCAATTAACTAAATTAAATTATGGCTTTGTTTTTCTGACCTTGTGCAGAAACAATGCACTTATCATTAATGCTCCTTAACCTGAGAAAAGGCAACTAGAATGATTGGCTTTTGACCTTTAAGAACAGGAACATGCTTTGTCTTACAGTCACTGAAAAAGATTTCTTAGTCAAAGTTTTAGTTACAGTTAAACTAAACTGTCTCTGTCTTTAGGGGATATTTGAGCTTGTATGGCGAACATCTGTAATTTAGGCAGTATTGAAGGTTTAATGTCATTAAAAGTTTTGAAACAACATTTAAAGGTTAGATCATGAATATTTGTTTGATTCTCAAGTAAAACATGTAATCTAAATAATATAGAAGTGTGGAAGATCAATTGATTAAAAATTTACCAAAAGCTGAGAAAAACTAAAGGAGGGCCATAAAAACCACTTAATTTGACATTGCATTACTGATCAAGTTAAACTCGTTTTGATATCTGGCTGAATCATACCGCTAGTAAAGAGGAATTGGTGTGGTTTTCTCTTTTCATTAACGTCCACCCAGCAGTGGACTTCCGCACTCGACGATGACGTATGAGGAAGTGCCGCAAAAACCGGTTGTCGTCATGTTTTTCAAAACATGTACAGGCAAGAACGTTAAGACAGCTAAGAGGTTTAGCTATACAGTGATCGTTGCTTACGACTTTGAACGATTTTTTGCTGTTATCTGAGCTAAACATCAAACGTACACATAATGGACGTCAGAACCACTTTGTCTTAGTTGTATCAAATTTACAGAAGCGAAGAGATCGTTAAAAATAAAGACACGAACTACCTTTTACAGGCTTATTTTTCAGGATGGAGAATGGGATTGCAAACACCAAGGAGGAGGCTTTCCTCTCCAGAATGGCACTCAATGATAACAAGGCTGGTATGGAGGGCCTGGACAGGGACAAGATTAATAAGATCATCATGGAGACGTCAAAGGCGAGTACTCAGCCAGCCCAAACTCTCAAAGCCTTTACACTCAAAGTAATGCTACAGCTCCCACATCTGAGAATGTATTAATTGTTATCCAGTTTTGAAATAGAAAATTCCGACTAAAACTATCATCTGCTGCAGATAAAAGGACCAATTACTCCCTGTGTAATGACCTCTGAATGGAAATGGAAATGCTCATGCACCTTTTAAAAAAAATCGTAGCTACCTTACAGAAGTCATTCAACTCTTGTTTTGTCCTGGCCATGCAGGGATCTAGGTTTTACGAGAATGAGCTGAAGAGGGAGCAGCAGGTGAACCAACGCATTGAAAAGATGATGCTCCAAAAGGCACAAATCACTGACCAACAGTTAAAGAAAGCACAAGCTCAGGTTTGACCGGGGGACGTTGCAGATCAAAGCTGGCGCTGCTTTCTGTTTAGACGTGTCTTAGACGTGGTGAGATTTCAGAGAACCCTCTGTGCAGGTGGAAAAGGTTGCTTCTGCACTGGAAAAGAGCCGTGACCTGAGCCGTGTCATCGTGCATGTTGACATGGATGCTTTCTATGCTGCTGTGGAGATGAGAGACTGTCCCGAGCTCAAGGACAAGCCCATGGCTGTTGGATCCATGAGTATGCTGGTGGGTTGACATATCCTTTAGAAGGACATGTTCGGAAAAGACATTTCAGAAATGGCTTTTGCAGCTGCAAAGTGTGGGTGTAACAAAGAGTTAGTGTGCAGATGTAGCTATCCCTTTTTTTATTGTCAGGAATATGACAACAATGAAAGAATGAAGAGAGGAGAAAGGGAACAAACATGAGTCCACTGTTTTGAAAGTATATACAAAACATTGCAAAGTGGCAATAACATAACAGTAATTCTAACAATAATAACAATTCCAATGTAGTAAGAATTACATTAATATTTTTTGTAATTAGAATAGTCTAAGACTACCTTTTAGGTCATCCAAACAATCTTAATCTCAACCATTCTCACTTTATGTAGTCTAATAGTAATTTTACCCTTTAGAGAATTATCACTGTGATATGAGTATAGAGCTAATGATCCTCTTTTTTTTCCCCATCTGCAGTCAACATCTAATTACCACGCCAGGAAATTTGGCGTCCGAGCCGCCATGCCCGGCTTTATAGCAAAGAAACTCTGCCCCAACTTGGTTATCGTTCCAACGAACTTTGATAAATACAGAGCTGTGAGTGATGAGGTAGGAGTGAACCACATTCAGACGCAAACAGATGTCACGCAGCCTTTTGTATTTTGTTGATCATTTCACACGGATCCCCTCTTTTGTCAAAGATCAGGGAAATTTTTGCAGACTATGATCCTCACTTCCAGCCAATGAGCCTGGACGAAGCCTATCTAGATTTTACAGACCACCTGGAGCAGAGGCAGAGTTGGCCCGAGTCCTTGCGGACGCACCGCTATCGTTCCAAGATAATCGCTTCAGGTATGGAAGAGCTTCTCCAAAGCGTTGCTCTTATACACCACATTTTCAACTGAGAGTGGGATGACATCTTTTCTTTGCAGATGAAAAGCACAACGAATCTGATGAGGCAGCAGAGATTAAAGACCTGTCTCCGGTCCTGTTTGAGGACACTCCAAACTCCTCTCCGTCAGCTTCTGAAAGCAGCGGCGGTGCTCTAGAGGTGTTTGGGACGTCTGTGGAGGAGGCTGTGAGAGAGATGCGCTTCCGCATTGAGCAGAAGACCACGCTGACTGCCAGTGCAGGTGGGGGGGAACTTTCTAACTATATCCTACCAATATAACAGTTATGTTATGCCGTCAACTCTCTTTTATGTACTCTGATTATAGCAATAACAAAACGGCTAAGTTTAGTACTAAGAAAAGTTCTACCCTTCGTTTAGAATCATGCAGTCATTCATTTGCAGATTCTGCATTGAAACACACTCAGTAATCTTTCAGGAATTGCTCCCAACATGATGCTCGCCAAGGTGTGCAGTGACAAGAACAAACCCAACGGACAGTTCCGACTCCTCCCCAGCAGAGAGGCGGTCATGGACTTCATCCAGAGTCTTCCAGTTCGCAAAGTACGGTGCAAATCAACCAAATGAAAACCTGACTTGCAGTGTGTTAGTTGAAGTGTGACCGTTTCAGTTGTTAATGTGAGAAAAAAACATCTCCTTCTCACATGGAGACGGTTCAGGTCAAAGCTGCATAACACATTGGCCACTTGCTGTGTAGCTGCAGATGTAGCAGAAGAGTTTGTGTGTTGTACTAGGTGTTTCAGATGTGACTAAACGAAACAAAAAGTGTCTACATTTTTAGAGTATATGAACAGTAAAATGTAATCTGTTCTCCTCCAGGTCTGTGGAATAGGGAAGGTGAGTGAGAAGATGCTGAATGCTCTGGGGATCACCAACTGTTCCCATCTCGGCCAGCAGATGGCGCTGTTGTCATTGTTGTTCTCAGAGACTGCTTGGCATCATTTCATGGAAGTTTCTCTGGGCCTGGGCTCCACGTACATCCCCAGGTACTGCGTGTGCATGAAATATAGGACAAAGTCATTTGAAAACTAAACCGTCAAGTTCAGAGATGAGACGCTTTCTCTGTCTTTTTCTTTCACGCAGACACGAGGAAAGAAAAAGCATGAGCACAGAAAGGTTGGTTTTTGACAAGCCACTAACAGCCATTTAAGTTGTTGGGTATTTTTTTCTTTATGTTTTCTGAGCTGTGTTGTGTTGACAGGACATTTAAAGAGCTGAGTAAAGCTGAGGAGCAGCTGTCTTTCTGCAGGGAACTCTGTGAAGACCTTGCAGAAGATATGAAAAAAGAAGGTTTGAAGGTAATTAGTTTGGTTTCAAGTTGAAAACATCTCTTTATAATTCTCTTAATCCTCTAAAAAGCTTTGGTTCTTTCCCCAGTATTGTCAGACTGACCTTTGTATACTGCAGATGTTATGAAACTGTTTAAATTAGTCCAACTATAACTCAGTAAAATAGTTTCAGACTGAGCAAAGAGAAGCAGGTCCTTGCTATACGCACACAGAAATGTGCATTCATTTCTTTGAGCAGATAAAGGAGAAATGGGTATTTTGTAAAGAGTTTTTATCTTTTTTCCCCATTCCTATAATTAACTGTCCCATTATAGACCTTTCAAGAATCGACTGATATCTGTCTGACTCCTGTACACTTTCCTTAACCTGTCTATATATTTGGAATCGATAGAGGACAGACTGGTTGGCTTGGTACAGCCATCAGCCCCCTGCCTGAGTCCCTTGATAGCAAGAGAAAATGGAGGGCCATTAAAGAGACAGCAGGGGCTACTATCAGTGTCAGAAACATCCCCCTGGGAGATGATCACATCAGTATGAAAACTCATGAAAGGCACTCTGACATATGCGTCAATGAGAGGTTTTCATTTCTCCTCCATTTATAATCCCGCTGAACATTTTCCTGTTGACTATGTTGATAATCAGAAGGCTGTTTGTAAGCAAACAAATGTAGCTTTAACCATTTTGTGCCGTTTGTTCTTTTCTTTTAGGGGAAAACCGTTACGCTTAAGCTAAAAAATGTGAACTTTGAGGTGAAGACCAGGGCACAGACGCTCCCGTATGCCGTTGCTACAGTGGAGGAGATCTTTGCTGTTGCTAAGGACCTCCTGAAAACAGAAATAGAAAATGAAAGTCCTCAACCACTCAAATTAAGGCTCATGGGTAATTAGATTTAGAAATACAAATAACATATTAATACAACTAGCCTGAAATAAAACTAAATGACCTGTGACATGCTGACAGGCCTCATGCAGAAATAAACCCATTTTCTGTTGTTACTTCTTTTGTTTCCATAGGTGTCCGAATATCAGGTTTTGTCAGCACAGAGGATAAAACCCCCATGCAGAAAAGCATCATTGGCTTTCTTCAGCCAGGCAAGTCGTGCTGCAGCGGATCTTCCCAAATAACGCATCCAAACCTGGAAAAGGACCCTCTCTCCACTCATCCCGCCCAAGCCTCACAGTCTCTGCATCCTCCTCCGGTGCAAAATGGTCATAAACAAGTGGAAGTTCGCTGGCAGATTAAGCAGAGGCACTCAGGGGAAAGTCAGGCTGGTGAGGAACCCCAGCTGTCTTTCTTCCAAAGGGCTCACGCTAGAAGAATGCAAGTCCAGGCGGTAAATGCCAGCAAGCAGGAGGAAGGATGTGGGGAGGATACTTCTGCGTTTACCTCTAAAGACAGTTATTCTACAGTGGGTGTTGAGTCAGCAACGACCAAAAATAGGAACAACTGTGCTGCCTCTGACCAATCAGGAAACAAATGCGATTCTCCCAAGCAGGCCCAGGCGTCCACATCGGGCTTTGGAACAAAGTCTGAAACCCTCACGTGTCCGGTGTGTTTCAGGCCGGTGGGGACCACTGATCTGAGTGTTTTCAACAAGCATATAGACTGCTGTCTTCGCAAAGCATCTGGAAAGTCGGGGGAATCTTCAGACGAAGATTCAGATTTAGATCCACCGAATGACCAACTAAAGTGTGAGGGGGCAGAGCGTGAGGTGGAAGAGGAGCAGGCGATGATGAGGAATGCGCAGCATGACACGAGCAGAGTTCAGGCCGGGGAAGGCCGGCCAAGCTTGAAGAAGGACTCTGAGCCAAAGGGTTTGCTGGTCAAAGGGGAAAACAAACCTGTGAGGTCACCGCAGCGTGAGGGGCAACGCCCCGTTCTCATCTGCCCAGTGTGCCAGCTGATCCAGGACACTGATGACCTCACTGTCTTCAACCACCATGTTGACGTCTGCCTGAATTGGGACATCCTCGTGGAGCTCGGGGGACAGGCGGCACCCCCCAAAAATCCATCTGCAGTTAAAAACAGCAAAATGGCGGGTAAGCGTCTGTCTGCGGGCTTTCTTTGTCGTTGTGTTCCATCATTAAACCTGCCGTTAGTGAGTTCTTTGGCCTATTAAGAGTGGTGATATAAGTTGGTGAAACAGTACAAATGATTGGCTGGTAACGTTCAGCGATGACCTGGCAATATTTGTTTCGACCACCTGAGGAGCCCAATATTTATTCTCAATCCATCCCTGTTTGAGCTGAGGGGTGTATGCCGCTCTACGTTAGCTAAATGCCCCATTGTGTTCAGCTGCTGCTGTTTGGTGCTGAGCAGGCAGGTGTTTACTCATCTTGCTCCATGCGCACCGTGCAGATCAAGGTATGTCATTTGTTCATCCCTGAATCTAAAGTCTGAGGAGGTATCCTTTGTCTGGGGACAGACGCCATCCTGCTGAAAATGTCCATAAACCGTTGGTGTGTGACGCCACCAAAGTGAATGGAAGCAATGTCTATTGGAAGGGTTGTCAGAGACCTATGACCCTCTCCTGACAGCTTCATTGTGTGAGAAGTTTGTTGTGATTCAGACATCCTATTTTACCCCTAGAGGAGCCCTTTGCCTCAGCCTTGGAAATGGCTAAATCACTTCCTACCTGTCAATTTCCTACAATGTGCTGATGCCAGGCGTCCTCTTAAACAAGCCTGCCTCTGAAACCACCTTCTTTATGTTCCAGAGGAGGTGCTGTTACTGTGTCCCTCCTCAATGGATGTTTTCTTTTTCTTTTGTCCTTGGAAAAGGGATTAGACGGGTTTCTTTTTCCCCCCGGTGCACATCACTCAGTGTCTGTTTTCTGATTGTAGACAGAGGACATCTCCTTCCACGCCAAACAAGCAAAGGCAAAAGCAAAAGGTGGGACCTATTTTAGACGGATTTCAGTTCAATCTCTGTCATAATTGTCTTCACACTGTTTTATTGTGCTGACTTTGTTTATCTCTCGACTCAGACGTGACTCGCCGTCGTCTCCTCCTTCCAAAAAACCTAAAAGCTTTTGCAACACTATAGACAAGTTCTTCAGGTGATGGTCACTCATGCAGGATGCCAGTCTGGACGAAGTGGTTTGGCTGCACAGGTTGAACCATACCGCTGACTAAGCAGCTCTGCAGTATCCTGAATATCACTGCCCATAAAGCCATGTCCAGGCTCCTCCTGAAAGCTACGCACTTCCATTGATTAATTTAAGCCTGCTTTTAAGCCATATATTAAGATGTTTTAACTGATTTAATTAAGTTTATCATTTTACTGCATGTTACATGGAGCATGAGAATAGCCGGGTCCCGTGTTTTCCTGTGAATCTGAATGACTTTGTGATATTGTACATATTGCAATTTTGTGTTGGTGTATAATGTGTATTTATTTTTGTACCGCTAATATTATGCAACTATTCATGAAGACAGAGAATGATCAGATAAATAAATATTCTATTTGGGCAATATTTTCTGATATTTTATAATCAAAACACTGTTTCTTGGTGACGCTTTTCAGTCAAATTGATTTTGATGAGCTGTGAGCTGTAGAAAATGAAGCCAGAGGCGGAACAATCTGAACTGTTTTTAGCAGAAAAACGCATTGGCCAGAAGTAAAGCTGAACCATTTCTGAAAATCAACACGTGTGCTCTCTGGCCTAACTTTCCTGGGAAGTTAAAGCACTACCTTGTGTCAATCTTTGTAAATCTTGTTATTCGTGATTAAGAGATTACGTCAAAGTTTTAGTTGAATGTTAAATATACTCTGGCGCTATCAGCAGGCTTCTATAGGGCGTTAGCTGGTAAAGCAAACATGCATCAGCCCCATGGCATTGAGAAAAGAAAGGTGTTCACTGCTATTTCAACTCTTACCGTCGGCTATGCAACAGCTGTGACTGAGTGGGACAGGGTAAGGATTTCTACACTTTTAACCCAATGGAGAGAAGGGCTTTGGCTTTGAAGACCATGATCAAGAAGCGTAGTCCTAAGACAGACAACCTGGACCCACGAAAGTGGGTGAGGCCAGAGACTATGAGGGGCTTTGCAGACTTCATGCTCCACAAACACTCGGACAAAGTGAAAGACAACAGCTTTGACAACAAAGAGATGTGTGAGTTTTCCTCGACTAAATAGAAAAAAGGCACTTATTTTATACCCAGTTATAAAAGGTAGCTAGCTGTACAGCTTTCTACATGTTCTAATTGTCCCCTTTCTAATCAGCTACATAAAATAATACATTGTGTTGAGCAGTGCTTGAGGCAGAGAAGCAGTTTATGGAAGCAGCAAAGAGGAATGATGTGGAAGCCATGAAGAGGCTCAGAAAAGGCCTGAATCCCAATGCAAGGAATGTGGTGGGTCTGAACGACTGCACTGTGTTGCCATTCATTACTTCTATCATTTTAAATACCAGATTAACAAAATAACATCCTGTGCACACGGCTAACATGCTGTTCATGGTGTGTGGCGCAGCACAATAGGACTGCCCTTCACTTCGCAGTGGCGGGCAAAAACATTGAGGCGGTTCAGCATCTTCTGCAGCGCAGGGTCAAGGTGGATCAAAAGGACAAGGTGCGACACTTTGAAATGTCTCTGCCACGAACAACAGCTTAAGATATAACAGTAAGCAAACTTTCTCCAACAGTATGGCGTGGCACCCATTCACCTAGCGGCCTGGTTTGGAAGTTTGGAAATCCTGAAATTATTGGTGCAAGCTGGGGCTGAACAGAAGGTTGAAAACGAGGTAAAGCTGCATGGTGAGAGCCCTCTGAGCTATAAACAAAAATAACCCCCCTCTTATTATTTTTTGACAAATAAAAAGGCATTAACCGTGCTTTGATGGACTTCTGTCTCAGGAGGGACTCAACATAATGCACTGTGCTGCCATTAACAACCACACAGAAATTTTGGAATATATCATTGATGACCTGCAGATGAAAGAACTGGACAAAGATGACCAGGTATCTGCTCTCCGCTCTAAAGCTCGTTGTCTCCTCCTGCGCCTGCTGTCTGTGACTCTGTCCCTGTGCTTCAGTCAGGACACCAGCCGTTTGCACTGGCTGCAGAACACGGGTGCGTTGAAATGTTGGAAAAACTGATGGTACCCTATAACATGGCCACCATGAAGCCAAATAAGGTGTGTGTAGCTGACATTTTTGGTCATAAAGTACACATGCGTTTATTTGACATCTGCGTTATCTGCACTTCACAAACAAAAAAAAAGCTCAAAGTCAAACACTCTTTGATGTGTGTTGGTTCCCTCCCTCCCTTCTGGCAGAGAGGGGACACGCCCCTCCACTTAGCTGCCAGGAACGGCCACTTGGACGCTGTCCAACTGCTGCTGCAGAGCTTTGGTACTCGGGATGAAGTCAATATGGTAGATAATCAGTGTAAACATCCTCTCTAAGTTACCTTTGTGACTGTGTTGTAATGTACTCCTTTATAGTGGTTGTACTTGATATTGAGATATATTAAACATGATCTGATTACACAATAGTATTTGATCTAGCTGGAACTTAAACCAAAGTAATATTTCTTGAACAAACTGACCCCTTAGGCCAGAGAGTCTAAAACAACAATTTTACTGTACTACTTAATACTACCCAACTTTCTAAGCATAAACCAATTTCAGAGAGGTTGTCTGTTTTTTTTGTAGAGAAACACAACTGCTAGAGAATATTCTGCATGAGTGTGCATAAAGCGTTACCTTTTGTGTTCCAGGATGATGAGACAGCGTTGTATCAGGCTGCAGACAGCGGCCATGAGGAATGTGTCCTGGCTCTGCTGGAGGCTGACTGCAACCCCAACATCCTCACAGTGGTACGGTGAGATGTGACACTGGCTCTAAGGACTAAACCATTCTGTCAAAAGGTTCAACTTGTGTGAAAAGTAAAACTCAACTAAAACTGGCTCTTTGTAGACCAAATGCAGTGCTCTACACTCTGTGTCAGAGAGAGGAGACACTTCTCTGGTCAAACTCCTCTTACAGCACAATGCCTACATGGACCTTCAAAACCAGGTAATCAAACTTGAGGCAGGTTCATGGGAGCAGGACACACTTTAGAGTTTTTCTGGTCACTTATAGGTTTGGCAGCAAAAGTCTTACCTCTAATGACTTTCCTTACTGTTGTTTTTCTTCTCAGCACCTACAGACACCTCTCCACCTGGCAGTGAAAAACAGTCACATTCCTGTCATCCATTATCTTATAGAGGCAGGCTGCAATATCAACATTACAGATATGGTATGATCAAGCTCAACATCATAGCATACGTGAACGACACCAAACAAGTCAAATGTTAACTGCCCTGTGCTGTGCTCTGTCAGAGGTCCCAGACCAGCATGCATCTTGCTGCAGAGCTGGCCAGAGCTGACGTTGTAGAAATGCTCCTTAAATCTGATATGGACCTAACACTCCGAGACAGAGTAAGAATCCAAACAGTGTTGCTGTGGAACAGAGAACGCACTTGGCACGTGTCCTTATGATGTGTTTTCTGCATGTGGATTCGGAGCAGCAGGGTAAGACGGCTTTGGGTGTCGCAGCCAGAGCTAATGAGGCGGTTATTGTGGACATGATAATCAAAGCAGAAAGATATTACGTCTGGAGAAAGGTGAGAGACAGTTTATGCTTGGAAATATTATGAGTGCCATAATCCATCTTTTGATATCAGCTTGAAATCAATCATTACATTCACCGCAAACATCGTACTTATGACAGCCAATTATCTTTCAATTTAATTTGCACAATGTTCTAGATTTATTTATTTGAAACCCCGGCCTTCATATTGCTAATCATGTGCGTTGATGGCAGACCAATAATCTTTTTGCGCGCTGGTGTATTCTGGGGCCGGTGGCCTTTATCAGTCCTCTACATGATTTAATTGCCCTTTCAGGCCAACCCCGAGCTTAATGAAAGTGTTCACAACGAGTATCCACTTACCTTTAAACTTGACCATCGCTCTGAGACCAAGCAACTCTGTTCGATGGTGTGGCGCCTGGCATACGAGCTGCTGAGAGCAGGAGACTGGAAGAGATTGGCAGAACACTGGGGCTTCACTCAAGAGCAGGTGTCTGCCATCGAGGAGCAGTGGACAGGTGCAGTGACACAGAAACCCAGGACAGTTTTTTAGCTTTTGGAAACCTCATATCTGACATAATCCCCTTCGTGTCAACATGTTGCCAAAACAAATCATTATTCTTGGCTATTAAAATATTACATTAGCAAAAATCTAGGATAATTTCTAAAAGTATATTTATGCAATTGACGATAATTTCATTTTAAATCTATTTTAAAGCATAATTACAAGGTAGGTTGCTTATCTAAGTACACTGTGCTGTGTTTTGTCCTCAGGTGAGCACAGCTATAAAGAGCATGGGAACAGGATGCTGCTGATCTGGATCCACGGGGAGGAGCTGGCTCAGAGATCTCCTGCTAAAGAACTGCACCAGGGCCTAATTGTCACTGGGAACAGGAAAGCTGCAGGTGCCTTTAGCTAACTTCAGCATTTTTTGTTTTCGTTTACACAATCAAATATTCTGACAAATATGAAAAGGCGCCCGTGCTTCCGGGACGTGTGCCAGACCTTTGTTCATTTGTTTTCCAGATAAGATTCGGACAGAAGCAGAAAGTAGCAGAAATGGATGCTTTTGCCTTTCATGAGGAGGACTGCTGCAAGTTTAAAGAATTGTCAGCCACTGATTTCAAAACCCCTCCCTGGCTGCCACCTTATCGTGGTGGAGGGGTTTGAGTGTCCCAGTGATCCTAGGAGCTATGTTGTCCGGGGCTTCAAGCCCCTGGTAGGGTCACCCAAGGCAAACAGGTCCTAGGTGAGGGATCAGACGAAGCGCAGCCAAGAAGACCCCTATGATGTCTAACAAAATTGGATCCAACGTTCCCTCGCCCGGGCGCGGGTCACCGGGGCCCCCCCCTGGAGCCAGGCCCAGGGGCGGGGCACGATGGCGAGCGCCTGGTGGCCGGGCCTTCACCCATGGGGCCCGGCCGGGCACAGCCCGAAAAGGCAACATGGGTCCCCCGTCCCATGGGCCCACCACCCATGGGACGGGCCATAGGGGTCGGGTGCGTTGTGCCCTGGGCGGCAGCCGGAGTCGGGGACCTTGGCGGACTGATCCCCGGCTGCAGAAGCTGGCTCTAGGGACGTGGAACGTCACCTCTCTGGCGGGGAAGGAGCCTGAGCTGGTGTGCGAGGCGGAGAGATTCCGGCTGGACATAGTCGGTCTCGCCTCGACACACAGCTCTGGCTCTGGAACCAGCCTTCTCGAGAGGGGTTGGACGCTCTGCTACTCTGGAGTTGCCCCCGGTGAGAGGCGCCGAGCAGGAGTGGGCATACTCATTGCCCCCCATCTCGGTGCCTGTACGTTGGGGTTTACCCCGGTGAGCGAGAGGGTAGCATCCCTTCGCCTTCGGGTGGGGGGACGGGTCCTGACTGTCGTTTGTGCCTATGCGCCTAGCGGCAGCACAGAGTACCCACCCTTTTTGGAGTCCTTAGAGGGGGTACTGGAGGGTGCCCCCCCTGGGGACTCCCGCGTTTTGCTGGGGGACTTCAACGCTCACGTGGGCAACGACAGTGAGACCTGGAGGGGCGTGGTTGGGAGGAATGGCCCCCCCAGCTTGAACCCGAGCGGTGTTCTGTTTTTGGACTTCTGTGCTCGGCACGGATTGTCCATAACGAACACCATGTTCAGGCATAAGAGTGTCCATATGTGCACCTGGCACCAGGACACTCTAGGCCGCAGTTCAATGATCGACTTCGTTGTCGTTTCAGCTGATCTGCGGCCGCATGTTCTGGACACTCGGGTCAAGAGGGGGGCGGAGCTTTCCACTGACCACTACCTGGTGGTGAGTTGGCTCCGATGGTGGGGGAGGATGCCGGTGAGACCCGGGAGGCCCAAACGTGTTGTGAGGGTCTGCTGGGAGCGCCTGGCGGAGTCCCCTGTTAGGCGGAGCTTTAACTCCCACCTCCGGGAGAGCTTCAAGCACGTTCCGAGGGAGGCGGGGGACATTGAGTCCGAGTGGGCCGTGTTCCGTGCCTCCATCGATGACGCGGCCTCCCGGAGCTGCGGTCGCAGGGCTGTCGGTGCCTGTCGTGGCGGCAACCCTCGAACCCGCTGGTGGACACCGGCGGTGAGGGATGCCGTCAGGCTGAAGAAGGAGTCCTATCGGGCCTTTTTGGCCTGTGGGACTCCGGAGGCAGCCGATGGGTACCGGCAGTCCAAGCGACATGCGGCTCGGGTGGTCGCCGAGGCAAAAACTCGGGCGTGGGAGGAGTTTGGGGAGGCCATGGAAAAAGACTTCCGTATGGCCTCGAGGCGATTCTGGTCCACCATCCGGCGTCTCAGGGGGGGGAAGCAGTGCCCCACCAACACTGTTTACAGTGGGGATGGGGTGCTGTTGACCTCAACTCGTGACGTTGTGGGTCGGTGGGCGGAGTACTTCGAGGACCTCCTCAATCCCACTGGCGTGTCCTCCTTTGGAGGGGCAGAGCCTGGGGATCCGGAGTTAGGATCTCTAATCTCCGGGGCTGAAGTCACCGAGGTAGTCAAAAAGCTCCGCGGTGGCAGGGCTCCGGGGGTGGATGAGATCCGCCCGGAGTTCCTTAAGGCTTTGGATGTTGTGGGGCTGTGTTGGCTAACGCGACTCTGCAACATCGCGTGGACATCAGGGGCAGTCCCGCTGGATTGGCAGACTGGGGTGGTGGTCCCCCTATTTAAAAAGGGGGACCGAAGGGTGTGTTCCAACTACAGGGGGATCACACTCTTAAGCCTCCCTGGGAAAGTCTATTCAGCGGTTCTGGAGAGGAGGGTCCGTCGGATAGTCGAGTCTCGGATCGAGGAGGAACAGTGTGGTTTTCGTCCTGGCCGTGGAACGCTGGACCAGCTCTATACCCTCAGCGGGGTCCTGGAGGGTGCATGGGAGTTCGCCCAACCAGTCCACATGTGTTTTGTGGACTTGGAGAAGGCGTTCGACCGTGTCCCTCGGGGTATCCTGTGGGGGGTGCTCCGGGAGTATGGGGTACCTGGCCCTTTGTTACGGGCTGTTCGGTCCCTGTACGACCGGAGTCAGAGTCTGGTTCGCATTGCCGGTAGTAAGTCGGATCCGTTTCCGGTGGGAGTTGGACTCCGCCAAGGTTGCCCTATGTCTCCGGTCCTGTTCATAACTTTTATGGACAGGATTTCTAGGTGCAGCCGAGGTGTTGAGGGTGTCAGTCTTGGTGGCCTTAGGATCGCATCTCTGCTTTTTGCAGATGATGTGGTCCTGTTGGCTCCATCAAGTCGGGACCTACAGCTCTCACTGGAGCGGTTCGCAGCCGAGTGCGAAGCGGCTGGGATGAGGATCAGTGCCTCCAAGTCCGAGACCATGGTCTCTCACCGGAAAAGGGTAGAGTGCCTTCTCCGGGTCGGAGCGGACGTCCTCCCCCAAGTGGAGGAGTTCAAGTATCTCGGGGTCTTGTTCGCGAACGGGGGTAGGGAGCGTGAGATCGATAGGCGGATCGGTGCGGCGTCTGCAGTAATGCGGGCGCTGTACCGGTCTGTCGTGATGAAGAGAGAGCTGAGCCTAAAAGCGAAGCTCTCAATTTATCGGTCGATCTACGTTCCCACCCTTGTCTATGGTCACGAACTTTGGGTAGTGACTGAAAGAACGAGATCGCGGATACAAGCGGCCGAAATGAGTTTCCTCCGCAGGGTGGCTGGGCTCTCCCTTAGAGATAGGGTGAGAAGCTCGGCCATCCGGGAGGGGCTCGGAGTAGAGCCGCTGCTCCTCCACGTGGAGAGGAGCCAGTTGAGGTGGCTCGGGCATCTGTTTAGGATGCCTCCTGGTCGCCTCCCTGGGGAGGTGTTCCGGGCTCGTCCCACCGGAAGAAGGCCCAGAGGAAGACCCAGGACCCGCTGGAGGGACTATGTGTCCCGGCTGGCCTGGGAACGCCTCGGGATCCCCCCGGAGGAGCTGGCTGAAGTGGCCGGGGAGAGGGAAGTCTGGGTTTCCCTGCTCCGGCTGCTGCCCCCGCGACCCGACCCCGGATAAGCGGTGGATAATGGATGGATGGATGGATGATTTCAAAACAAAGCCAAAAGTAAAATATTTATTCTAGCAATACAATATGGCTTTTGTTAAGTGAAGAACTTACAGTGGTGAATTGTTGCTACAACATGGACTAACACAGAAAATATGGGATTCTATGTAGTGAGGTACATGTTTATGCATTATTTTAATTAAAACCTTCATAAGAAATCATTGTCCATTTTGACAATTAAAAAAGATATGGTTAAAAAAACTGTTTTCACTTTCCTGAGAAGTCTCTTCACATTTGTGAACAGAATAAAGGGACATAGAGGAAAATTTCCAATGAAACATGTCCACATTAATGGTAAGATAGGTATTGCATAGCTTGTTGCATTGGATGACTTTAAACCTCAACACTAGATTCAGTCAGTCGACGACTTTGATGGAGTGCACATGGCAGGAGCTGGTGTGTGTTCGGGAAGAGCCTCGGCCTGCGGGGGAAGCCTGGCTCTGCTGTGAGGATCGAGGAAACTTGGCAGCTGTAGCCTGTCCAATAGTGAGCTGTGAGCATGAAAGACAAAGAGGATAAAAGTTCCATTCCATCGCTTACCGACTCATGGTGTGTAAAAAGTATCACGTTACCTGTGTAACTGGGTGATGACGTTCAACGACCACAGAGCTCATGGGTGGAGCCATTCCCATGACCTGGAGATTGTTGCGTGCTGCTTTATTAACATCGGCACGTGCAGTGATGCGAGCCGTTACAGTCTTTGAGGGTTTTTGTTGGCTTGCCGTCACAACACGGCCGCTGGCCTGAAACAAAATATTTCCTATATGTAATATATATGTAAAATGATATACATTTATATGAAAAAACTAGTGAAACATTAACCTGTTTGTGAGAACTTGCGATGCCTCCAAGTGGAAGTGAGCTGTGCACCACTGCAGTGGGAGGCAGCACTTCGTCTTGGGATAGCGGGGCTCTCAACCCCACCTAAGAAAAACATGGAAATGGGTGCTGAGTTTAGAGGAACTACAACTGTTTAAATCAGAAGCTATCAATATTTACACTATAAATATGACAGTGCAAATATTTATTTCCTTGGTCTTTGCAGTGAAAATGAGGAAAAGACTAATACAAATATGCTTAATGATGAATTTAAACAGTCAAAGATTAACATAAACGTAAACGTAGATGCAGTTGTGTTAAGTAGGTTTACCATATCCGTTTCACTGTGGGAAGGTTCTGTGTGCTCCAAATGGATTGGACTGAACCTTGTGGAGGAGGTGGCATATGGCTGAAGTTGAGCCAGTGTGGCAGATGCAGGGTCATCCCGCGGTGGCAAAGAACCTACCAGAAAGAAAAATAGAGAAATAAATGGATGTAACGCACCAGTCGCTAACTGGCAATATATGTTCTTGATAGAAGTTTATTCATCTTTTCTGGAAAGCCTGGAATTATTGACAAAATTCCTTGAATATATCATTTAAAACAAAAACTTTTCTTGTAATGGAAAAGCTTGTTAATAATTAAGAATAAAAAAGAAAACATTCTGGATAGGTGTTGTTGGCAAAAGCGGCTCATTAAGAATAATGATGATGAGGAAACAAGTGTTCATCTACTAGGTTTCAAAACTCATTAAATCTGGGAGCAGATGGATGAGCAGATGAGCCGGGTACGACAATCAGACCTAACTTCAGCACTGATGTTCTTCACAAAAACAACCAAGCTCAACACAAAGTGTTGTCTAAGATGGTAATTCCTCATTCCGAGTTAAATGAGCCACTGAATAAGAACGGACATAGACCTGGCAGCCAGTTCAGGAAATAATACTTGTTTGTAAGCCTGTCAGGCAGTTCTGTTACAGACCGTGCTGATCGTGAGCAGGAGGCTGCTGCGGCCGGCCCTCTGAGGAGTGGAACATGGTGAGAGCCTCCATGTTAAGAGCACATACGCCTCTCATGAAGGCTTTCTTCATAGATTCCTCATACTGCTCTCGTTCTAACCGTAGTCTATGGATCTCTGCTTGAGCCTTCTCCAACGCCTTGCAATGCTGTAAAGACAGGAAAAAGAAGATGGAAACAGTCCACAAATAATTCAGTTAAGCTGAGCTTCTCAATTTCTGTCTGCTCACCATAATTTAGGCACCTCAGATATCTATGCGCAAGGCCGAGTTTCTTTGTAGAGGACAAATATTCAACTTTTTGACTATACATTAAATGTAAATGCACAGCAATCCCTCAATTTAAAGCAGCCGAATAAGTTTAGGCACAGAAATCCATCCAGCAGTGCAGTCTCAGTATCCTCAGGTCACCCGTACTTATTTACCTCTGCCAGCTTGGCCTCATAATCTGTAGATAAGCGGGAGCAGACCTCCTCAGCCTTTGATCGGCAAGCTCGCTCCATCGTGACCTTCCAGTGTTTCTGAACTAGAGAGCACCAGCCATGCCACACCTTCTTCTTCAGCTGCAAATTGTAGTGCTGCTGTGCCATCAGCCCAGCCTGAGCCTGTCGGGGGAGCACACGTCCATGAAAATACTCAAAAGGTAATAATTACACCGACGGTTCACTTTCCATAACCACACTACATCATTTCCCACCTGGAAGACTTTCTGTACGAGTCACTGAGTTTCCTAGTTATTTTGTGAACTTATAAAAGTGGGAACTGCAGAGACACTGGCTGTCATGTAGCTATATTAATCATTTTAAAGTTGGCAAAAATATATATATAAAAAAAGAATAGTGAGCAACTTATACCCTACTAGCACCTTCTGTCTGATAGAGAAGATCCACAAAACATTTATGAGTGTCTAACAAACTGTTTGAGGAGAGATTACATCCCACTAAAGTGAACAATGCAGAGCAGTGGGGGGAGATCCTTCATACTATCTGACGAGTTTTTCTCATGAGAGACTAGCCCATTTATATCACATAAGACCCATTTTTAAACTTGTGGTAATGGCTGAAAAGTGTACCTCCTCCTTGGCTTCAATGTACTTAAGTCTCCAATGGGTAAAAGCCCTCATCTTTTCGACGCTTTCTTTTTGTCTGTCCAACACGTGGCTCAGGTTTGCAATCATCTGTGAGAGGAAATCAAAAAGAAAATGTTTGGAAAGCAGGCATGGCATAATCATATATGAAAAACGCTGACCAAAAAGGACCCGCTATGTCAATAAACATTCAAATTATGCACTGAATGGTCAATGTAAGGCATTTGACTTGGACTATATGCCCATAAAGAACATTTACGCCCCAAATGATAACTTTATCAAAAGAAAATGGAGATAATCTCAGTGGATGATGAATTTAGGAGCTGGTTTCACAAGATGGCACAAGGATAAATCCATACCTCACTAACTGTAAAAAGATAGAGAAAACAAATCAATACCTATACCTCATCTTTTCTTTGGTTTGAAGTCTCATAGGTCTGCAGCAGCTCTTTAAGGGCATCTAGCTCCGACTTTAGGACAGCTGTTTGGGCGGCATGCTTCTCCCTCTCCTTCATCATTTCCAGCTTGTGTTGCTCCAGAAAAGCAAACTTCCACTTCCGAAGCTCAGTCAGCACGTTTGACTAATTAGCAAACAGGCGGAGGGACAGTGGGACTCAATTTCCGCGAATATGGATGTAAATACATGCTATTTTTTTTAAAGTGAGATGTGGGCACTGCAGATTTTCTTTCAAGTTATGTTTTGCTGGATGTTTTTTAATGAGATATTTAATAGATTTACTTAAAATTCAGTAAGATGAATGCCTCTGCACACAGAGAAACTTGGTTTACCATTAAATGCTCACAAAGTGATCCAATGTCAGACATAAACTTGCTTGAGATCATCTCAAAGAAAGCTTAAAAATCAAATTTAAAACAAGCAAGAGCCTACATTTTTGGCTACAGGCTAAGATTTTTTCTGTTTTTTTGTCATCTTTTGTATGCCCAAACTCTGCTCTTTGACAGTGATTAGCAGGTGACTGCTTGTCATCTGCTCTCTGTGAATGACCTGTACAACATCAGCAGAAAAGGGCAAGACAGACTCCCACAGGGGGCCAGCCACCTTCTCTGGAGTCACTCCACTGGGAGACACACACACTTAAAAGGTCACCGCTTCCCATACGAGTAGAGCTGTCATACCTTTCAAAAAGGAATTCTGTGAACTTAAGCCCAATCCTGGTCACCTGGTCATTAAGGCTGTCGCAACTGTCACATTTTAGCAAATAATGAACTGTCAAATACAAATACTTAGAACTGAAAGTACGTCTTTCCAGTATGTGTGTCTTATACTATGGTTACAGTAAAAGCTTAATAAAACCTAAATGATTCCCATACTTCTGAATAGCAGAGAATATACTTGCATTAAACATTATTGCATTTTAAGGACCGAAACCATGCCGTCATGAGACTTAATGCTCCTCTATTACAATAATCAAAATAACAAATATGACCACTTGGCTTTATTTTTCTTCAGTGGGACTCACCCAGGAAAAGCACATTTGTATTAAATTCTTATTGCAAAGCCTTGTAAAATGATTTATCATTTTAGATCTGTTTAATGATTTTTTGTCAAACTACACTCTATACATTAGTTTCTTTTTTAATTGTTCTGAGACTCTCAATATCTTTCATTTTCGTCTCACAAACCCTTAATTACTCATCAAATTATACTCATTTACAATAAATCTCCAAGTCTGAGTCGATGTTAAAAGTCATTATTTGTAAGTAGGCCTCAGTTCTATTTAGGGATAAACCATTATGTTTTGATCTCAAGGAGACATTAATGAATGGATGGATGATTGATGGAGAAAGAGTTCTACTGTACAGGGAAAACAAATTAACCTTCAGGCTGTTGCTCCATGTGTCCAGAATACTCTCCATCTTGACAATGTTCTCCTCTGAGATGAACATTTCTGTCACAGTAAACTCCTGGGGGTCTGGGCTGTTTGACCTGGACCTCACTGTGTTTGAGAGCACAGATGCTTTGCCAGACAATCCTTCCGTTCTGTCAGCTGCAGGGCAGAAAACACAATAACAAACATGTTATCACAGGATGATAAACAAAAAAAGTGCAATTTAATGGATGCGGTGTTTTAAGCATGTTTGATATACCGCACATACAAAAAAAAACACCTTTCACACGTTCACTGTTTTTCTTTGTGTTTAAATTCAATTTACCCAAGAAAAGTCTTGAATGTGTGGGGGGCTCAACAATCAGGGGGGAGGCCTGTGATGATCTTACACTTTTGCTGGAATGCCTCCCATCTTTAGCCTCCTCTGCAGGATCTGAAAGAACACAGAGGAGCTGCATCAGACTTAAAGGGTAAAACAAAATGGTTGAAAATAAATGAAAATGTGTTGATTTTCCAAACAGATTCTGACATGCAATCAGTGATTTAAAGATGAGAGTCAAATTCAGAAATATTAAAAAAACAGAAGATATAATGGTGGAGTGCTGAATAAAGTGAGCATGCTTCCTTGTCTAGGAAAGCATTTCATGTCAATATCTTAATTAAATTCTGCAGGGGGCAACGAGAAAGCCTACACTCTTAAGAGCTGCGCGGGCAGAGTTCCAGGAGATCATTGCCAATCAGCCTTTCCGTTCTCTATGTCTCTGTGTGCTTTTCCATGACAGTTAAAGCACTAAACTTCCAGTGAGAGCTACACGTAGGGAGGGGGGCGGATGGACTGTTTAAGAAGTGGTAAAAATACCAGAAGAACAATTGCCTAATATCTAGACAATCTGACCGGATTATAACCTGAAAAATAAAGATGACCAACTAAGACAGTCCCCCCCCCCCCCCCCCATTTGTTGTGGGGGCACATCCTCTTTGACAGTTGATCAAATAATAGGGGCAGCAGTTTCTGAAAGGCCTGATTTTGACTTTCAGTCAGCAGAATTTGCATGTATCAATGTGTCCTGTCCACAGAGGGTGGCCGACATACCTGGTAGGTGCTGTAGCTTTGTGCCATCTTTGTTTTGGGACGTTGTACCCTTCAGATGAGCCCCTTTAGGTGGCTCAAGCTTGGGAGTGATAACAGCATATCGGAGGAGCTCCTCATACTCTTCCTGTTAAATCAAGCACAAGAAATAAACATTTTTGGCGCAAGTATACATGCATATATTATAGGTTTTATCCAGGTTTTCCCCTCTATGTTTTAGATAATACAGGGGAAAACAAACTAACAAAAAACAAGATGTTTAATTATGTCATAAGTTGCCTTACTTGGCATGTCATCTCCTCTCTAGTGTCCACGTGCAATTTTTAATAGTTCAAGTCCAAATGATATACTTTATGTCAGACTTTACTCAAGTTGAGAATCTGTAGTTTTCTTACATAGTTATTTCAGTTACACTGATTGCTGTTGTCACATCCAATGAATTGGATTGGATTATTAGCTGAACCTAGACAGCTGAACCAATTTTACTGTAAAGATGTGTCACATTTTTTTGTGTGAATTTAAAATGAGTACATGTTTATTTTTTATCACCTGTAGCTCAGAGGACGCAGAGCTGCCCCTGTCTGAGTCTTTGGGCATAACAGGACTGGTTGGTTCTTCTTCATCTGAAGACATCTAGGTACAGGGGGGGTACAGAAGTGAGAATGGAAGTTATGGAACAAAACATCACCAGCCAACAAAAATGCATATACATAGATGTTTAAGGAACAAACAATAACCCAGAAATTGAAATAATGGGTGCAGTAATGACCAAAAACAAATGCAGATTCTACAATCTAAAATAAACATTCAAATAAATATTTCAGAAGCTCCCTTAATGGCAGTTGAAATCCAAAAGCAACTATATCTGAATCCCTAAAACCATCTATACGAGCTGTTCTCCAAAGACCAACTAGTAATTGTGTCTGTGCTCTTCGAGATAAATCAATACAACTGTTGGTTTATTGTGGAAAAGAAACACCAGCTTCGGTTTCTTCAGATTAAACACTCTTGTGAACACACGTTAGCTACACAAAACAGGGCTAACGTTAAATGTTTGAACGATACACTGTTTAATGAGAACTCAAAACCCAAAAAACATAAACTAACTGAACCGTTAGAGGAAAGTACGCTTATATAATCAGTAAATGTATCCTAATTGATCTGAAATACTTACTTGTTTTTATTATTCATGTACCACACTTTTCACTTGTTACAGTCGGCGTCAGTTGGAAACTGCTTGCTTTGCCATTTCAAACAGACTGACTCTCAAACAACAAGCTTTTTGATTGGCTCCTGTTTATGACAGCTCATTCTAAACCACATACGATTGGTCCAATAATTTCCATGGTAACGATAAGCGGAAAAGGATTTGCCCCTGCTGTTTAAAGGAAAATTAACGGTGTGTTAAATTTGGACAGTTTGTCTGATCCACGCTGACTTGGGCAGTCAGACAATACAGAGTTTAGTAGGTTTATATGTCGATTTGTCAGACAATAATTTAACTGCGTTAACATAAATCTCTTATTGGATAAGATCCCAAATATGTTTTAAAATTGTGCTTCGAGGTAGTTCTCCTCACGCAATGATATTACGATATTAATGCATACGATTTAGTATATTCAGTGTATTCTTTGTATGAACTTGCCTACGTGGAATATAATGATACAAAATAAGTGTACAGTGTTTATAGTCCATTTTAAAAAAAATAGATACATTATTGTTATGCCCCTGTGGTTCACAAATGATGGACGTTTACCCATTAAGAGAATTCAAGAATTCCAAATTGTGTGACTATAAATAGATTAGATGATTAATGATAAAAAGAAGAAAACGTACCTCTCTGAAGAAGGTGTAAGTCTTTGGGGAGTACCACCACCCTGTGAACCTTCCTGTTGTCATTACTCTGTTGTTCACTGGAGCAAGAACAAAACAGATGAATGTTTACAAAGTGAGCTGCTGCTATTCTTTAAACCCCGCTTGATGACTTAGTGCTTAACAGCATTACGAGGCATATGTGGGTGAGGCCTAGCAGCTTGGCAGTCCTGGGTTTATAACAGACTCCAGAGAGGAGGGACATATGGTCTCTCTCAGCCATGGCAGAGCTGCACTTGGAACTGTTGGTGATGAGCCTTATCACCACCTGGCTGGGAGTACTTCATTGTCCAAAGGTGTCCTGTCAGTTCTGCCACATGACCTGCAAGCTGACTTTTAAGAATCCTGAAATGGATTGTTCACATTGGTGATAGTGCGTTAATCTCGTAAAGAAAGAAAAACAGCTCTTTGCTTCTATGATTTATCACAATTGGCAATTGTCAGTACCAAGCACACCAGCCTTCTGACTCTCATGACAACAATTTATGAGAAACAATTCTTTGTATCAGAGATTAGGATACACATACAATATATACCTTCACTCTGTACCTACTCTGTATAATGTTTTCTATTTGTTGTAGAAAAGGTAATAATCTGCTTTTGATAGCAGTAAGATTAAAGCTAGTATTACTGCCTTAAACCCTTGTTTAGACCCCTTTTGTAAATTTCACTGTCCTCTCAGCGAAGGGAATGCACCCGGGCTTGAGAGCTGAAATGGGATTCAGCTCACATTCGTCTCTCATAGCCTGTTCAATCTGTTCCAGGACAATAATCACAATCCATTTGACTTTTTCCCTCTGGTGTTTTAGCACAGCAACATTATAGACTATAGAGGGACTTGCAATGGTAGAAAGAAACTAAATTTGGACATCAGCCTGTGTTAAGGTGACTTTGGTATGGAATTCTTTTGTTACAAAACTTATTTTGCAATGTTTAATTCCCTCTTTTAATTCCCTTAACCTTAAAGTATGAGTTATGTCATCTATTTCACTCTGGGAGTAAAAACTGATCACAAACTCAGTTTGAAATTGTTTCTGCCTGTGATCGATTTTCAGTCAGGCGTATTTGCAGAGTGCCATAACTCCTGAAGACAACAACTCATGTGCTATCATTAATCGTAATGTTATCAGTCCATTTTTCTCACGGGACACAATAATGACCCCTCACCGAACACAATGTTACTTGAACACATCATATAGTTATTCATAGCTGCCTGCTGTTTTCAAATTAGTTTTCGTCACATTTTGATGGACCAGGACTTCCCCCTTGGGCCACTGAAATCCATCACACGCCTCTGTCGATGACACCGGTGTCCTCTCGCTGTGCTTTCAGACTGCTTTTGCACCAAATTTTCCAGATAAGGTTAAGCACATAGATGCATCATTTGAACTCAAATAACATTTTAACTGATAATAAACAGATAATATTCAACAAGGTGGAATATTTGGTATCGTTTTTGTGTGCATTTATCACATCTCCACAGCCTGATGGAAGCTGAGTTCAGCGTGAACTTGTAACCCAGGTGAGCAGTGGAGACTGGCATTAAGATGGAATCCAAAATCACTTAGCTTGAGCTTCTATTTCCAGAAACACACACCATTATCACAAGCGTCCACATCTATTTGTGTAAATATGGATGAAGAGACACAGCAGACAGATGTTCCATTATACCTCCACCTCTATGCAGGTTTCATATTCATTCAGTTCACTAAAATATGCTACAACTGATGTATGTGATACTGTCATAAAACATTATGTGAACACCGTGCAATACAATTCAGCTGCTTTTAAATGTACAAATAAGATCTAGATAGAACCTTTGTAATATTTTACCTTTAAATTTTAATAGCTCCTATTAGTTATTTACATAGTGTTGAAACAAACCCACCTCAAAGCAAGTTGAGAAAATGTCATTTAATCTAAACGAATGAGCATCTTGGAAAAGCAGGGAAACATGTGGTGATTTTTAAAGTTAACTCAGTTTGAGTCACAGTTTTTTTGTTAATATTCTTTTTGTTTACTGCAGTTTAAGGTGTGGGCGTTACTGTGTGAAAAAGGTGGCGACATGAAGTGACGTGAATTCTTCTCCATTTGCGACAGGTGTGGCTGTGATCATGCTTTGTTATTTGTTTCTTTGAGATGAGCTGGGGAAGAAACCAGTGTTTGCGGGGACATGCTCTAACTCCTTTGGAGCCTCTGAAGATGAAGTGACAGGTTAATCACTGATGAATTATTCATTTATTTCCCATCATTATTCATTCAGAAAAAACAGATTGAAAGTGCACGAAGTAAAGTGTTACCTGCAAAATTAAATGGACAAAAATCAAAAGATACAATAGATGTTGATTTATGTGTATATATAAGATAAGATAAGAGAGAGGAAACTGGAATGCACAGTGTTCTGAATGTGTATGTGTGAGTATGTGTTATTTTACTGTCCCGTACATTAAGCTAAGTGCTTCTCATATCTTCAGTACAAGCAAATGGAGTGGCTCGAGGGGGGAATCTTTCCCTACAAACAAACTCAAAAGCGGAGAGAGTTGGAAACACCAGGTCACTGCTTCTGTGACTCCTTAAATGAATAAAAATAGTATTTTCTTTTCTTTTTGAATGTATGTCTCTGTGTGTCCTTGTACACTTCACAATGCAACTCAACGTGTTTAATGATGAATAGTATGCACAACCAGAGCAACAGCATACTCTGTGATCATTTTCTGCATTTTATTGATGTATGGTGTTTCTTACAGTAAGTAATTGATATTATGTTTTTATGGAAAAATAGCAACTTGGACACAGTGGCTGCAACTCATGAAAATAGTTGTGTGGAGTCTTCCTGTTTCTGCTGTTAAAAGATTAATGATGTGAATACAGAGAGGCTGACTGTCTCTGTGCTGGTACTTTATGCTATTTTCCTGTCCCTGTCCCTTTCTCCAAGATTCACTTGCGAGTTTAAAAGGCATTAGGATCTGACATGGCGGGCACACAGGCAGTAGCTGTCTCATACTTCATCTGAAGACTCGATTTATTTCCTAAAAGTCTGCAGGTTTAGCAATTATTGTAAAAGAACTGTGTATACACTGGCAGGTCACTTTCAATGGGCCTACCCCCTCTGTAGGAACTGTTTATTAGCTGTGTGAAAAAGTAATGGGTAGCTGAAGAAGATCAGTGCCATCTAAAGGAAAAAGATAAACGCAATTTTTTAAAAGTCACAGGACTGTTGTAACCAGGGCATGTCCAAGTCTTTTGGCTTTGTTGTCTGATATAACATTGACTAATCATATCATATTGTATCTGATTTATTGTGCATACCTGTAAAGTCAGCATAAATGAACATAAATGATTAAAATGATCTGATTTGCTGTCAGATATCACATTTAAGTAACAACAATTCTGTGAAGTTTGATTAATGAGATCTTCCATCATGCAGTATTCGAATAAGTATTGAGCCTCTTGAATTAATTAAACAGGCTCCTTCTTTTCACTTCCTGCTAACAAGCAGATACGTACATCCTGTGATTTCCTCTGGCAGGATCGTTTGGGTGGTGCCATGGGGTGTGTGGACTGAAGCTGTCTCTATCTGTCTACCTCTTCCAAGCTCAAAACGGAGGAATTGGTTAGGCAGCAATGAAATGGAAATTAGTACATTTCATCTCAGTGAGGCAGCCTGAACTCCAAACTGTCTCTTTTTTTTATTCCATAAAATATGTTAATTTGCACCTGGCTATCTGAAGATGTGCAGAACATTCATAATATCGACTTTCATTTAGGAATCTTGGTCCAAACGTGATTCACTCGCTGCTGCTGGAGCGTTCAGGACCTCGGACAGAGCAACGCTCTGTGCGCTTCCAGCTTATTTAATAATAAGAAAGCATCATACGTCTAAATGAAATATGTTTTCGTCATATTTGCATCTCATATTTGCAGTTGACAAAAACTTTTCACGGAGGCTGCAGATTCTTTAGAATAAGTCTTTTTTTTTCGTCCCTGCTTTGTAACACATGCTGTTTGCGCTGAAGAGGAAAATCTTTGTTGCTGAAATCAAACCTTTTTGCATCTGTTTAGCATGCGTGTGCTGCAGCGGTTCACGTCAGTCATCTATCCAGATTGTTCCATCAGACGGAATTGCCCACATCACTCAATGAAATACAATTATTGATTACACTGCCCTCCCCCGCTCCCTCCCCGCTGAAACTGTCTCCCCCTCTCTCTCTCTCTCTCTCGCTTGTCTCTCTCCTCTCTCCTGAAGTGCTGCAGCCACAGAGGACTGCATCGGGGGAAAAAGAAGAAGAAAAAAAGCCTTGTCGTACGCTGGCAGTTACTTCTGATTCTGCCCCTCAGTTTAAGAAAAGCCCCCAACATCTTCATCATTTGCGGAAAGGGAAGCGCGCAGCGCTGTAATGGCTTACTTTCGTCTCAGTCCACTCTTCTCCTATAAATGACGGTGAGTAATTACTTTTTACATGTTTTTAAACATGAATATATGCTGGCTGCAGCAGTGATTGCTAACATGCTTGGACTTTTCCATCAATGATTTCAACTCATAGCGAGGCTGACATACAGGAAGACAGAATTACGCATTCATAAGCTTTAGTGACCTTTGTTAAAAGTTTTAATTGTGTCCTGGCATGAGCTTTTCCCCCCACTTTTGACCTCACTGAGGGACTGGTTTCTTCAAAAGTATAAATTGTGTGATTTGTTAGAAATAAGCATGATTTACAGAGACATAAAGTGGAGAATCAGGTCCAGTCTATAAATCTTTAAAATAGTAAAATCCAATCACTTTAAGCTGCCATTTCCTTTCTGTATACTTTGCTTCCTGCATTTGGGGTCAAATGTCTGATTCAAGTGGCAAACCTGGTAATTTAAATGGTTTGAAACCTTTGGGTGGTGTTCTCTGCAGCTCAGAGCTCTTCCAATATTCAGTGCAACAGCAATATTTAGCAAAACCTGTGTTGTTGGCAAGAGCGGAGTTTTGTTGGCCATGTACTGTTCGGAGTGCTGTCCAGCCACCTGGCCCGGGGCAGTTTAAGCACTCTGTGTTGCAACCCAAAAGGAGAAGAAAAGAACAAGGGGGAAAAAAGAGTATAAGGGCGCAGGAAAAGGGAACTGACTCATCCATGAACTGCACGTTAAGATGCAGTAGACGACTGACAGGCGCACAGCCGGTGAGCTGGAAATCTGTGGCAAAGTGCCTTGTTTGCAATCTGAAGGCTGCTGTGGTAGTCCTGCTGGGTTAACACTGAAGAGGGCATTCAGTGAAAAAAAACTTGTTAAGGCAAAGTGATTGCAGACTACAGCTGCCTACTTACTGATGAAGTCAGGACTACACACGCTGACGTTTTCTGTTACTGTTTTGCCACTGTGGAAAAGGAGAAATGAACAGGTATAAAATATCTTTCTTAGTGTAAAATTGAGATTACAGAGGGCTCTGAGAAACAGTGCATGCTTCTTTTGATGTAGTAATCAGACAAATAGGAAGGTAAGGAATTAACACATGGTCAGAAAAGTTTTACTTCCAAATGTTTCCTTGTCATCTATAATTCTATTTGAGGGATTATTGTACGTAAATGAGCTGCTTTTCCTTTAGGCATTCATCATGCAAAAACAATAAAGCAATATGACAAACACAAAGAAAAGGTAAATGTCCTCCGTAAAAAAGATTTTTTCTCCTTTTCGTCATCTGATTAGTTTTACTGCTGTAACAAAATGGGTCCCAGACACAAAACGTGTCATGTCTCCCATTTATTGTGACAGCAGTGAGGTCTGGGAAAGGGGGGAGCCGTATATTTAACCAGTAGATCGCATACACCCTTATCTCCAAGGGAAAACAGTCAAATCTTTTAATGGCATCACAGGGGGAAATACCACTAGGGTATGGGTACATCTTTTTAAATTAACAATTCTTTTATTGTCCTTTGTTTCTTCAATTTAAGTAAGCAAATATAAAATAAAGAATCAAACCACTTAACCATGAAAAGAGTATGGACTTTTGACTCAAATGATTTGTTTATTAGAAGTGTATAGGTTGATCATTATTACTTTTAGACTGTACTTATGAGCACTATTTACAATTTTCTTGTCCAGTTGACCACTTAAAGCTGTCACACTCAGCCATTCACACACACACACAGCAGAGCTCAGTCATTACTGTGTTTTTTATGCTTTTCTCTGTCACACTTTCATATGTTGATTGACCCCTTGGGGTGGCTTGGGGTTACTTTCCCAACCCAGCAGCTTTCAGTTGGTAGACAACTGTTTCAGCCCAAAAATAATCTATACCAGCAAAGTCCTTATCATCTTGGTTGGTGAAAAGTATTTAAACTTTTTATTTCATATTCTTATCTTAAAATGTTTTTTCTTTAGTTTTTTTTTTCTATACAACCACTGACCTCTCTTCCTCCTCCACTGAGTCAGTAATGGCATCAGTATTTGATGTAATCTCCCAATCCAAGACAACTATGGCTGGATGTGCTTCTGCCTTCCAGATGAGGTCACAGGCTCTCCGTTTTGATGGAATTACATGCGCCTCTGCCCACTTAGAGATTGGACCTGCTTTCTCTGACCGCCTCAGTGCTTACGCATGTCTTTGAAAGGGCAGGACACTGACGTGCCAAACCTGACTGAGGTTTCCAGAGCTGGTACTTCTATTGAGGGAGGATCTTTGAATAGAACACTTACATTTAGATAGCAATAAGAAATTCAAAGATAACATTTAAAAGGTTTTTATCCAGCGTTATTGTATTTAAAATCTTTTTTAACTATATGGTTCGCACAACTGGCTGTAACATTGTTCATTAAAAAAAATATCCTTATATGATAAGTTGTGCCACATTGTATGGACACTCAAAAAGGAGCAACTGATGAATTTTTAAATAAACCTAATTTAGCACTTTTTTCTAATTGATTTTTGGTCAACACTCCTGAATGTTACTTAAAAAACTCTGGACCGTTACCTCTCCATTTATTTGAATCTTTTTTATATAAAGTAGATCACATTTCGGAGGCAAGGATATGTGAAACAAATGTTACAGTGGTCATTTTACGGACATTTACTTGAGTTTAAATTTGTTTTCACATCTGTGTCGCTGTGGTTCTTATGTGGGTTAAGGAGGTTTAAGGAAAGCTGGGCCACCATCCATCATGCAGACAGGCGGTATTGTAAAGCAGGTTCACATGATCCAACAATGTCAAACATTCTATATTAACTCTCTTTATCTTAATAACAGAGGTCAGTTCCGCCCTGAAACTCAGTGTGCATACACGGTATTTCTGGCACGTGCTATCATCACTATATTCATATCACCAAACAGTCAAAAATAACTGGACAATCAAATGTTTAAACTGTGGTTACTATAAAAACAATGATGGGAGAGGGAAGCTGATTATGATATAAAAAATACATGGGGGGGACTTTCCGTAAAGCAAAGAGCCAAAGAAAAAAGCAGGCGGACTAACGGGTGGTTTGAAACAGCTCACAATAACGGTGAGATTGATTTGTTTGGCGGTCGCTGAGTTGTGATTGTGGCTGTTCCCATTGCTGATGCGGGCCTCCTCATCCCGCGGTCAGGTGGGGTTAGGTTGATTGTGTGCTCGGGTGTCCTCTGAGCTTCATGACCACTGACAGCGTGCCTCACTATACACTCCATTGATTCCCTGACAGGCAGGCTCCACCGGTACCCAGCCCTTTTTCCCACTTAAATAAAAAAAAAAGTGTCACTACAACTTAAAACCTTAAACCATAAAGGGTATCAGTTCAGTGACACCGCTGCTCTCTGACATGCTCCTGCCCAGGTTTTGTCTGAGGAATTCAAATTGAATTGGACTTCTTTTGACAAGAATCTGCTCTATTTAGCGCTCAAGGTGAATTGTTTTTGTGAATCCTGTCACTTAATAGGGATTCATCTTAAATAAAAAATATTTAGCTTTGGCTGTTTTTCTCCTTGAAGTGAACCCTTTGTAATACGACTATTTGAGACCAATATCAGATTGAAAAAAAGGAGGTATTATGGCTCATTCAGACTATCAACTGCTTCACCAGTCTCATTGCAAGTATTAAAAATAATAATCAGTAGATGAGCAAAGAAGTGTATGCCCAACCACAAAAGTCATCCAATGAGCCAAAAGGAATTAGTGGTGTCACCTTGAATCAGCAGTGTCATTTTGCCCAGTAAAATTGCATTATGGGAGCTGGAGCCGGGCCCTTTGATTTGTGTCCTCCTGACAAGGCTTCAGTGTTCATTAGAGGATGTGGCAAGCAGCTCTTAGACACACGGGAACTGAACACGCTGGACGGTACTGACCATCTCCTCCCTGCTCATAAATATGCACTCAAAGTTATAAATGTTTTAGAATAAAGTGAAAAGTGTTAATTCACTGGATTGGCTGTGTGGAAAGAAACAGGCCTGAGTGATTGTGTGCATGACTCAAATAAAATCCTGTTACATCATTTGTACTGTTGAGCTGAGGCCTCCCTCCCATCTCTGCTCTGTCAATATGGAAAAGGGTTCCCCAGTCTTAGATGTCTGAATAGTTTCTTACCGTAAGTCCAGTATTCAGTTCCCGTCACAGATTCTGGACAGGGTTCAGGTCTGAGCTGTGGTACAGCTATTTTTCTCTGTCAACCGTTGGTTGACTTCTCTGGCTCTGTGACAACGATAGTATTTTGTTCAAAAGCCCGGTACTGCAATGAGAAAAAGTTTCTGTGGGGGGCAAGAGATAATTGGTGGAGGCGATGGTGCAAACCACCACACCCAATGGAAGACATGTACCGTCAAATTTCAAACGCAAACATTATTGCTTGTTTCTAGCTTTGCAACTGGCAACCTGACGTTATGCGAGTATTCAAGACCCATTTTAAGTGTTTGAAACAAAAAACAAATCATTAACTGCTGGCTTTTACTCACTGAGCATGAAGCACAACATCATGTGTATGTCAATTAATCCTGCCTTTACTTGTTTTTGCCTGATTCAGATACGACAGCCCTGTTCCTGTTGGATCGTCACTTCCACTGTAAAGACTCAGTCTCTTATTAGGGACAAATTGATTTTGAGCCGAGCCTTGCCTATTAGCCTCTCTTTAACAGAGCTGGTCATAAGTCAGCAGTTTTCCTGCCAGTGGGGTTCTATCTATAGTCCGGGATGGCCATGAATGTAGGGACAGAATCTAATGAAAACCATTTGGTTTTACCCTTCAATTTTTTCTCAGATTTCTTCTTATTTATTTACATGTTGTTTACTCTTCCCCTATGTCTTTCAGCCTGGTCGATGATTGCCACAGCCATTGTAGGTTGCCTCCTGTGGTGACTGCTGCCTCAAGAGTTGTCTTCCTCTGTGCCATCTCAAGACCCACCGATCACTCTGATCCTGCAAACCCTCTGTCCTGCAAACAATTTTATTTTCTTGCCCTTTTTCCTTCTTTTTACTTCTAACTAACTTGTGGACCCCTGTGAAAACTTCTGCCCATCCCATAATGGAGGACACTTACAATAACAGGACTTCCCTGGCTAAGGGGGCCAAGGGCATGGTCAAGGAGGCCAAGCGTCACGCCAAAAAGAAGGTTGACAAAGCGGTGGACCGTGCCACTGATGAGTACTCCTCCCATCGTAACTACTCACGGTTCCAAGACGAGGAGGATGACGATGAGGATTGCTACCGTAACCGTGACAACGAGGAGGGCTCCAGTGATGCCACAGAAGGTCACGATGACGAGGATGAAATTTACGAGGGCGAGTACCAGGGGATCCCTTCAGCTGGGAACAAGAAGCCCAAGGATGGCCAGGTTGCCATAGGACAGCCCGTGTCAGATGCCACAAGGGACCGTAGTGAGCTGGAGCAGGAGAGACAGGCTGATGAAGAGGAGCTGGCCCAGCAGTACGAGCTGATCATCCAGGAGTGTGGGCATGGGAGGTTCCAGTGGGAACTGTTCTTAGTGCTGGGGCTAGCTCTCATGTCTGATGGGGTGGAGGTGTTCGTGGTGGGCTTTGTACTGCCAAGTGCAGAGACGGACATGTGCGTGCCCAACTCCAGCTCGGGATGGCTAGGTAGGAACCTGAATGTCCATTGGTTGAAGGTTTTTCAAGAAACTGATCCTGTTTGAAAAGGATTGTATGTGTAAGATATATCATATAGATATGTTCTGGTGACAAAATTTCCTTCCAGAGGTGCAACATTGTCCAAGTTGGGTATATTAACTTTACAACTGTAGGAACAAAAGAATCATCTTGAGTTGGACAATCTCAACAAGTATAGACATCTATACTAAGCCCTTCACAAAATGAGATATTAAGATATTAAATTCAAATATGACAAGGATCTACTTTACATTACTTGCTTTATAAAGCATTAGCAACTAACTGTTTCAATGATCTAACTGTGAAGGTGCACCTGAGCCGAATCCAAACAGCAACATGCAAAAACTATAAATCTTACTATTTAAACAAAACTCCATTAACACGTTACATGTTCAAATGGTTTTCTGAAAATGAATAACAGATCACATTTAGTCTGAGAAAAATAAAATTAGTGCTGTGCATTGTGTTGTACTCGTCACACTTCATTCTGTCGCTGCAGAAGAGGTGTTTCAGTCCATTGGTCTCTGTGTCAGGATTAGGCGGGTAACTGGTATTCCCTGTGCTCTTTATGGGTCGAGATGGAGTTTCAGCAGTCCTCGTAGCTGCAGGTGTATAATCCATCACCACAGAGCTACATAGAGAGGCTGACTCACTGTGTCAGAACCAGAGAAGACAGGACATTAAATCAGGCACACAGCCCTTAGATACTAACCGCCACAAAGAGGTGTGACAATAGATCAACTTCACAGCAACACCTGATACAACGCTGATACAAAAAGATCTATAAGAAGAGAAGACAGGGTGAATAAAGGCTTTGATATATTGGATGACAGATGCAGCATTACGACGTGTGCACAGAATTTGAGATTTAAACAACGATTATTGTCTTTTATTCCTTCAAAGTTGATGACAAGTCTTAAAAGCAGCCTGTTTCATGTTGTCCCTGTTAAATGCTCACAACATGTTGCGCACGCAGCACCTTTGTTTTTTTGTCTCTTTTCAAGCATTTATAAAATCCTTTCTTCCTTTCTGGCCAAGCAAAGTCCTGCAGGCATTCATGCTACACGCTCTGCTTCCCCTTGTTTGAGATTCCCTCTCTTTCACCCTCCATTCAGTGTGCCTCACTTTTCTTCCCCCATTCTTTCCCAATCTTATCTTCCCCCCACTGATTGCCTTGAGGCTCCTCCCCATTGAGGTGGACATGATTGCTGTGTCTGTATGTGTGTGTGTGCAGATGTGTAAATGTTTCCTACATAATTAGAGTGACCGCATTAGTATTTGGTGTTATCCACATAAGGTATAGCTGACCATTTTTAAGAAAAATGGATTGCATGATGTGATTTTTAAATTATTCTGATTTAATATTGATTAATGAGGCCAATTAGCAAATAGTTTTATTTGTCATAGAGTCTTGTCTGTTTTGGACATTGGATTGTCTTTCCAAAACTTAGTTTGCTTATATTTGTTAAGTTTAGACAAGGTTACATTGACACGTGTACATTTATACTGCACAGTGAATCCTCAAATAGCTTGTTTTGTTAGTGAATATGTCTTAAATAAGGTCGCTTGTGTTGTGTGTATGATAGTCATAAAGCCTGATTGTCTGAAAAACCTGGATTCATGTGTGCATGTCAACCTACAGGGACAGACCAGCTGCCCATGTCTCATCAGGGGACATGCCTGTTTAAAGGGTTAGTTGTATAGGGAGATGACCCACCTGAGGAACCATGGCAGAAAAAAATATCCTGAAAATTGAAAATATTTTAAAAGGTCCAATGGAAATAATGGAAAAAAAACTATTTTACAACCAAGTTCACAAAATGTAAACCCTAAGATTTGGCACTGCAATACTATCAGTTGTTATTACTTTTACCTAATCTAGACCATAGTTACACTGTCCAGCTCCATTAATCACAAAAAGGCCAGATGTAATGGGGCAATATGAAAAACACTAAGAACCGAGTAGACTGGATGAGTGCTGATTCGATTACTGCCCTCGATTTGGTAACAGTATCCTGAGCGCGATTCTCACTGATCAGGCTGTGCAAGTAAATAACGTAGATGAGAATGGTTGAAATGGGAGGAAAGCAGGGGGGAAGATGAGCACTTTGTGGTGAAATATGTGTGGAGAAGTGAAGAGACAGCTCTGAAGCCGAGAGATTACCAACTCAGAAAATGGGAAGAGATGTGGGTGGACTGGAGCAAAGAGGTGGAGACTGAGAGTATTTAGTACACCAACACACTGAGGGTGAAGCTTGGCTATCATCTCAAACACAACAGACAAAGGAACACACCAACCCATCATTACTTTTGTGTTCTCTTGGACTGATTTTTTCTAATTGAAACTCCCTTCTTTTTTTTCAATCTCATCTCATCATTATATTCTAACAGCCACATTTCCTTTGTTGCCACCGGTTTCCCTTCCTTTCATGTTTTGGCTTTACTTCACCTTCCTTTCATCTTTGCATTCCTGTCACATGATCTGTGGTACCTTTTATTCTTTTGTCCCTTGCTGTGTCCCTCTGTCACCTTTCAAGCTTCATCCCTGTAGTACTTTTCCTGATTCGTCACTTGCTCATTTCAGTCTGAGCCAGCTGGCAGTCCGTGTCAGGCTGCGTGGTCCAGGGGCAGCTGAGCATGGATAAAATGCAGCAAGATCTCAGCATCGCTGCAGAGACTTCGCTACTTGAACAGTGTAGCTTGCGCTAAATTGTGTGGGAGAGTGTGTGGAGCGAAAAACGGGTGCGGATGATGGGACTAAATGTGTCTGCATATGGACTGAACCTGCAGAGACCAGCCGAATCTGCAAAAACCCGCCTATCAGCTTACTTTTAGCAGGACTTGAGAGCATCGATATTAACAATCTTCAAAGTAAACGTGTCTTTGAACATTACAGATGCTGAGTAAGTTCAAACCATGGCCCCTAAGCCCTATGATGGATAACTTTCATATGATTTCTATTGAAGTCTCGCCCGCATTAATATGACTTAAATGCAACAAAACACTCCAATCTCTTTTTCTGCGTAGGTTGCAGGAGACGGAGGCACGAATCCGATCAAACTGACATGGTGTAGTACAAATATGATTACACGCTGCTGTGTGAGGGAGCTGTAGGTAGAGCAGCTGGGTGGAAACCAATGCAAATATTGTAAATGCGAGGGCGCCACGTAGGAGAGGAGACCGACAAATGTGTCGGGAATGAAACGTTAGGAATGAAAAAGAGACGCAAGCCAAGCAAAATGAGGGAGAGAGACTGAGGGAAAGTTGTAAAGGGAGAGGAGGTGAAGAATGAAACGTAATAAAAGCAGCAGAGAGAAATGGAGACGGTGTGAATCAGGTTTGGGAGCGGAGCCGCGGGGGTGCGCCAGACATGCTGCTGTGTGATGGCATCCCCGTTCTGAGCTGAAGAGGATGGGTGTTTTGTGTGATGCTGAAACGGTTCGCACCACTGAGAGTGAGGCGCATCAAAGCATGAAATCAGAGAAGGGGTCGTGATGCAGCTCAGCGCTCCCACATCTCTCTGGGGGGGGGCGGGCCTTGGTATGTGACAAGGCAGAAAACACAGCGCTGGGGTTTGCCCTCATCTTTCCCTCCCCAGTGTCAGTCTCTTACCCTTCCCAGTAATTACTGTACTCACATCCTTCTTTATCTTTTTCTCTCGCTTGACACCCCCCTCATTGCTTTAGCACTACATATTTATTTATTTTGCCAGCGCTTTAGCTTGATCATGGAACACTTAGGTTTCATTAGTTTTCCATCCTTCACATAATTCCCAACAGGCAACCGAACCCTTTTCCTTCTGTCTCAGAGTTCCCCTTTACACAAATTGATTCTTTGATGGTACTTAGAGTCTGTTTACTCTAAATTGATAAATGTCTTAAAAGACACACAAGTTGGGATCCTTTTAAAATGTCACATTTTTTAAAATCCACTCTCTGTAAAAAAATAATTGTGATATGTGATTGTTCGATGCACTCCAGGGGAGGACATCTAATCAAATAACCTAATCAAATAAATTAGAAATCATTCTCTTGCAAATACAGTATGATAGCCCCACCTCAACATGTGTACTGGTCAAGGATGTCTTTGCTACTTTTCTGTTATATTACAGTACAGTTCAGTGCTCTCCCCTTTGCTGGTGCCAGCACAGCTGACATCATGCTCACAGATACTGTGAAGCTAGTCCGGCAGAACATCAATAAATTCATTACATAATTGACTCTCCTGTAAGGGAGTACTCATTACTTAACTATTTATTGCTATCTGCTGGTTTCCTTATTGCTATCTTTTGCCATACTTACCATGAACCAATATTTCTACCCTATAACACGAAAAAAAAAATCAATAGTTGAAGGTGAATGAGGCTTCTTAGGACGTTTGGAATGCATGATATATAAATAGGCAACCAGTGAATGTATATCTGTAATTATATATTGCCTCTTCATGGTGCACCAAATGGGTAATGTGCCACAGGCCAGAGACATCCTTTAAATTTAGAATTTAATTTATGAGACCTTTATGAAGTAACTATGTCGGCCAAAAGTAAGGGAGTTTTGACCTCTGCTACAAAAGAGTCAAACCGATATTAGCTTTCTGGGAAGAGACAGACAGACCGAGGTGCACCTTCCTATCAAGATTTCTTAATAAGATCATTCCACGTCAGATTCTGAAGGGTCCTAATGGCTGATGTATACCAATCAACATGTGACCGCAGCTTACATATCCTCCGCAGTGTGTGGAGTACATCCAGTCATTCTGAGACAGGAACATGATATTTCTAAAAATGGTTGAGGGGAAAACACTATCAATAATTTTTTTTTTTTGTCAACCATGATGTTTCTGTCATTAAACTGAATATCTAATAATTCACAAAATGACCAGCTAGAGTTTGTTTTTCTCCTCCACGAAAGCACCTAACCTCGCAGTGCTGCACACAACATGGACTGAAGCAGTAATAATAGCCTCCTCTCCTCAGGGCAGAATCGTGATGATCAGTGAAAGAAATCAATGCTGTTTTGTTGGAGCATTGATCCCATTTGTGATGAGAGAGATTAAAAGAGAGCAGAGGGCCTTTTGTACAGTCACCCGGCATTGCTGTTTACATTCGTCTCAAAGCTTGCTTTCGGTCCTGTAAACTTTAAATTTGCTCCTCGGTGTGACTGTTTGTTAGCAGGCCGAATCGTCCACCTGAGTTTAAAGGAAAAGTCCATACTCAGCAAATAAGTTAATTTTTCCTCTGGTCTTTTCTGTTATTTGTTCATATACCTTATTTTCTAAGATTTAGAAACTGTGCCATTTATCAAGGGAAGATAGAAAGCAGATGGAAATGTAAAGATTTTAAAAATGTTTTTTGTGTATTTTTTAGCTCAATTCATTTGACTTTTTGTTCTTTGTTATGAACTGCATAGAGTAAAGAGTTGTTTATTTGAAAAAAGTCTAATTGTGAGATTATGGTTTAAATAGAAATGTTTTTTTTTTTTTTGTGTTATAATAGTCAATCTATATCCAGACTTGTCCCTTGCTTTGGAGTTTTTAGGGAGATTCAGAGCAAAACCGAAACTTAAAAAGTGTCCAACCTGGAAGTAGCAGAGCATAATCAAAGTTTTGGTTTCCTCAAAGACCTCATTTAATCTTTTCAGGATGGAAAAAATGTCTACTTTGAACAACTACTTAATCGCTCATTTGTTTCCATTCACTTTCCAGGTAGCATTGTTTATTTGGGAATGATGGTTGGAGCGTTCTTCTGGGGAGGGATGTCGGACAAATTGGGACGCAGACAGTGCCTCCTTATTTGCATGTCCACAAATGGCTTCTTTGCCTTCCTGTCATCTTTTGTCCAGGGATATGGCGTCTTCCTTCTCTGCCGTGTTGTCGCAGGGTTCGGGTAAGTCTGATAAAATAAATGTCACCTTGGGGCCATCCATGAGTCCAGTAAAGTGATGCACAGTAGTGCATTAAGATCAGAAGCACTACGTGGGACTTATTTACAAGCTGGGTGATGTTAAATCATCCTGCTCTGTTAACACAGGAGCAGCCATGGTGATTTCAATGTTGACCAATGCAGAGTCATAGGAGCAACAGAAATTGTCTTAAAGAAATACTTCTGTTGATAAACAACGGCTAGTAATTAACCAAAGACAAAGCTTGTAGGAATGGACCAAATTTAAATTTAGGATTGCAACCACAGTCTCCTCTTGACTAAGATACAGGTAAAAAAAGCAAAAACTCTCTTGACGTGCTTTGAGTTCCTCCAGTCTTTGAGCAAATAACTCAAATTGCATAATTTGAATATTTTCCAATGTAAATGTAGCCAATTTACAATAGTTAACTTTTGAAATACTAATACTAATAATAATTCTCCTTCAAGGTGTGCCTGAGAGACAGGGAGTTTTCATTCAGTGTCACTACCCATTTGTATTCTGTGCATGACTCTCTAAATTATCATCATTATTTATGACTTGACTGTCCATCTGTAACATTTTACTTGCAAGTTTTATAAATGTAATGATATTGTATAGCTGTAAAAACTTGGTTTGATTCTTAATACAATGTAGGAATGGATATTCTCTGTGAAGCTGCTCTTCCAAGAAAGACGCTTGGCAGTGACTGTGATTTATTACATTATCGTCTTTGGCAGCATAACCACTCCTTCAAGAGCTAATTCAGTAATTGCGCCTACATCATTCCTTCCAGAGACTCTTAGAGTAATTGAAAAGGCTGTCCATGACCTGTGTCCCTGAATCGTGAGGAAGCAGCGTCCATTTCTTTCTTTTTCTTTTTTTCTTTTCGTCGCACTATGGCTTAGGGAAAATTATTTGCCCAAGTTTACGTCAAGGGCAATCACTTAAATCTGTTCAGGGAAGAAAAAAGACAGCCCAACAGTTTGATTCAGTAATGAAATTAACAACAAAAAAAAAAAGTATGTATGCAAACAGCTATCCATAATTCAAATATATAAAAAACTAAACCTGAAGATGAATATGTGTGTGTTCTTGTTATGAACTGAGATTAATATTCCTGGCTCATAAACACAAATCACTGTAGGAATGAATCCGTAAAGTGGTCATGTCAAAGAGCAAGGTTAGGATTTTCATTGACTATTTTGGCTTACTTAATTGAAAGGCATTTATTCCTTGAAAGTGAGATTCTTTTTCTCATTCTCTGTTTCTTGCAGGATAGGAGGTGCTGTGCCCATTGTTTTCTCCTTCTTTGCAGAGGTACTGTGCAGAGAGAAAAGAGGAGAACATCTCAGCTGGCTTTGTATGTTCTGGATGATTGGAGAGATCTATGCATCTGCTATGGCCTGGGCCATCATTCCACACTATGGTGAGAAGAAAAGCTCATTGAATGTACCTTTGTTTAATGGCATTCATTTAGAAGTTTCATGCTTTGGTTTGGTTTAGTTGGACATTAAGAGACAATACTATCTCGTTGTGTAGACTCCAGTTTCACCAGTAAAATGGCATATTTCAATTATACCATATACAATTGTTTCAATTTTATCTCACCTGCACTGACTGAATAAAACAGAACATTTTTTGTTTTATTTATACAAGACTAAAGAGTCATCAGACAAAGTGTGAGAAACTTTTTAGCAAGACATTCTGAATTTACCCACTGGGAAAGTGTCTTTCTTCTCCTGCTGATCTTTTTTACTCTGCTTTTAACGTGCTGCCTCCTCTTTTTACGGCTTCTCTCCTCCTATTTTTGTGCTCTCCACATCTCCCCGTCTAACTCAGTCCTTCCTTTTATTACCTCCCGTCTCTGTCTCTGCAGAGTGTTCTTCTTGATCAAGCATAATTAGGTTTTTCTCCTTGCTCTAATAGGACAAAGCTACATCCAGAGGTGATTTATGGCCAGGCCGTGCTCTAGCCAGCCTGTGACGTCAGTAAAAGAGAGTTGCATTGTGTGTGTGTGTGTGTGTGTGTGCGTGTGTGTGTTTGTGTGTAGGCTGCTGAAACTTGCATGGATGATGTTTTACCAGCGATGCAGACACACACAGGTCTTCCTCAAGGAAAATTGAAGGCAACAACATCTGACAGTGGAAGAGGTCATTCCAGTTAAGACACACACACAAATGCAAAGAAGCATTTTAATGGAGATTCCACCGAAGATTTACCCAGTTTTTTAGCACGTCACTCATAGGCACACTGCTGTGGATTATTTCACGGGGATGTCCAAACGCACCCTCACCACACTCTCTAAAAGCAGAACTTCGTGACTCTTCATGAGGACTCTCTGCTGTCAGATCTGTGGATATCATATTGAATGGAGGCTAGCGATCTTACTTTGCTCTCATTCTCTCTGACTCACTTCCACTCTGTCTCTATCTCTCTGGGATGGAGCTGTGTGTCCTGCATACATAATCCAATGCTCATCAGTGGAGTATGTCTTTCCCGAAGTGCTGCAGTGCCTTCAACCAAAATTGCTATGGTGTGTGGGCAAAAGACCAAAGCAGAGATGTCCTCCTGTTGCTAAGTGAAACACAATCAAATAGCCAAACGCTGATGCATGATGCATTGTAATGTTTCCCAAAAGCCCCCCGCCAGACTTTGGCAGCTGGAGCTCCGAAGAAGGTCTGCTCTGCATACATTCTCATCACACTGATGGGACAATTTGAGGAGTCACTTGCTTCCAAGTCAGAGCACTTCATTAGAGAGAGCACACTCAGAGGGACTAGAGAGGCCATATCATGACCATTTATTGGTTCACAGTCTTATTCAAAGAGCTTCACAGGGGAAATCTTTCATATTATAGCACCTCTTGTTACCTTCAGTGGCTGAAACTTTCATCCATCCATCCATCCATCCATCCATCCATCCATCCATCCATCCAT